TAACTTTTATCCTGTAAGGATTACACAACACAAACTGTACAGGCTGAAGTTACCAAGTCATCAGTTGAGATCTAAATTAAAGCCTGGTTATGGTTTCTAAAAGTATTCTTAGAATTTTCATAATTACTCTGAATTAGAATCAATAAACTTCTTGTATTTTGATAATAACTTAAAGAGCATATTTTAACATGAAGGGAACTCTATAATAAATAATCTGATTGCAAAGACATAGCTTCTCATACAAACACGTCTGTCTTAGCATTCAAGTGAAACAGAAAGAGGCTAGTTAAACAACAACAAAAACGCAGAAATACAGATGTTCTGACACTAGTTGTTATGTTTTCCCTAGGAAACTCTCAACTTGTCCAACATACAAAGAAAATGGCAGTGTAGGAATCTAAGCTAGCTTAATTTAGCAGCATAATAATGTCAGCATTATTTACTACATGTCCCCTAACATATACAACAAGCCATATCATATATGACACTCAAAATCTCAAACCATTCTAGATACAAAAATTATTTTCAATTTTGAAGTTAACTTTCATGCCAATCTACTTCCTCTATACACTTAACCATTTTCTTTTCAGTATATTCAATAGCAATATTTTAAGTACCATATTTCGGCAATAAATGATTTCCCACACCAACAATATTCCAATGAGACTTTTAAAAATATTGATCTTTTCTCAAATATCAAACCCTAACCTGGACATTATACTGTCTTCCCTAACCTCATCTGGAACACTTTTTGATGTATAGTCTACTAGTTCATGTTCATTTAACCAATTTTATTGCCCTAAAAATATAAATTCTAGAAGCTTTCTGGATAAATCCTATTTCTAGCATACAGGATATAGTAAATTCAACATATAATATCTGACAGGTAAGTAGTCACCCTTTATGCTTACAATCTGTATTATCTCTGCATATCTTCATATCAGTGCCAACAAACACTAGCCAAAACTACAAGCACAGTGTTAATAGCAAGTGTTAAGGTTCTGAGTAGTAAGTGTGAAGAGGAGAAGTCAGAAGTAGGGGAAAACTAAATGCAAAATTTAAGGATAAAAAAGTTGGCCTAGACCAGAGATGATAGAAAAACAGGAAAACAAGATTAGAAAAAAGGTGTTTGCATCCAAGAAATGCAAACTCATTCTTAACCTGTTCAACCTAAAACAATTCTTATTCTTATCAAGTAAAATGGAGCCTTTTAACAATGTGTTATCCTGGCTATTCTGAGAATGTCTTTGTTAACTCAAGGCACATCTTCATGGCCCAGTCCTACCTTTCTCATTCACACTTTTTTTTTTTTTTTGGTTTTGTTATTGTTGCTGTTTACTGCTATAGGCCAGTACCTATAAAGTACCCAGCACATAAACTGTCAAATGAAAAACAACCTTTGAGGGAGGCATTATTATTATCCTGGTTTTACAGATGAGGAGACTAAGGCTTAGCAAGATGAGTAACTTGCCTAGGGGTTAAACCACTAGCCAGAAACAAACCTGTATCTGTCTGACCACAAAGTCCTCATTTGTACTCTACCCTCACTGGGCAGACTACCTTCTTAATGCCTCTCACGGTGTGTCTTTACTGGTAGCAGCGTTCCCTTCTTAGGGGAAGGTTCAACTCAAGCGTCAACTTCTCCATCAACTTTTTCCTGGCCATCCTCAACCTCTGATCCCCGCTATGTTCTTCTATAAACTTCTCTTCCTTTATGCTGTGTCCTCTTAGAGTTGTATTATTAGAGCCCTTTGCTGCACTTATTTTTAAACATATATACTTTTTATTGATTTTTTTTGTTTGTTTACAGAGAGGAAGGGAGAGGAATAGAGTTAGAAACATCGATGAGAGAGAAACATCGATCAGCTGCCTCCTGCACACCCCCAACTGGGGATTTGCCCGCAACCTGGGCATGTGCCCTTGACCAGAATCAAACCTGGGACCCTTCAGTCCGCAGGCCGACGCTCTATCCACTGAGCCAAACCAGTTAGGGCGCTGCACTTATTTCTTATCTCAACTTCAAACTTCCTGAGGGGCAGAAATTATGTATCTTCAAATGCCTCTGGTACATGGCAGAGTTGAATAAATGTTAGATGTATGAATGAATAATCCCTACAAATCCATGAGATAAATAGGAACCCTTTAACTCAGTTCCCTAACCACAGGCAACCAGAGACTACAGCTCTCCTTTGCTTGGGGGTGGCAAGGGCATGCCTGAAATTCCCTGCCCGTACCACAAAAGAGCATCACTGTGCTATGTCAAGGCAGCTTTTCAAGTTTTGAGACATCTAATGAAAGAACAATACAGTTCCAAAACTTTAAGAGCTAAACATAAATTCTGTCTTTTAAAAAGTGGCCTACCTGGATGGGATACCAGCTCTCAATTTTAGGTAGTTTGAATGGATCAATTAAATCACTGTTTTCAGTGATTTTTGCTTATTCTAAGTAATTTTATTTTTATATCCCTTGGCTTGAAAGCGCAATTTTATACTTCCCTCCACATATAAGGACAAAAAGTGCTTGTCTTTTACAAAAATGGGAAAGTAAAGTAGAACCTGTGTTAGGTAAAAGGGCATTCAGTAAATGTTATTATGCCACCGTTTGTAAACCTTCTAAAAGCACATGTGGCCTATTTTAAAGTAATGAAAACATTTACTAGATGATTTTCACTTAGTTGGTATGAATACCAGGTTCAAATTATATTCAAACTAGCATCTCCACTGAGTACTACATAAATAGTACTACATTCAATATTTTGGGTCTAAGAATTTATAACCAAATGCTTAGCTAGGCCAATTTAAAAACACACAGTTTTTTTTATATACTCACCACCAAGCCACAATCTATAATTTTACTCCATTTATTAACACTAATTTCTTTTTTTTTTTATTGGGGTTTTAACATTTGGTTAAAAAATTATAAAGGTTTCAATTGTACAAAACTATGATACATCATCTGTATATTGCATTGTGTGCCCACCACCCAAAGTCAAATCTTCTCTGTTACCATATATTTAACCCCTTTTGCTCTTTACTATCCCCACCCCCATGCTCCTTCCCTATGGTAACCACCATACTGTTGTCTGTGTCTATGAGTTTTTGTTTGTTTGTTTGTTTTTCTTATTTGTTGCTTTATTAACACTAACTTCTAAGCACTGTCTACCTACACCTACAAGTGAAATATAAGATTGCCCTAACCGGTTTGGCTCAGTGGATAGTGCGTTGGCCTGCGGACTCAAGGGTCCCAGGTTCGATTCCGGTCAAGGGCATGTACCTTGGTTGCGGGCACATCCCCAGTTAGGGGGTGTGCAGGAGGCAGCTGATTGGCGTTTCTCTCTCATCGATGTTTCTAACTCTCTATCCCTCTCCCTTCCTCTCTGTAAAAAATCAATAAAATATAAAAAAAAGAAAAATATAAGATTTATAAATAGGATATTATAATGTGGAACACTGGAATTTCAACTGGAGCACATTAAACCATATTCTTGCAAACTAACATTTTTCCAAATATTTACTAGCTACTTTGAAAAAAGTAAAAATCACTTTGTCAAGCAGGAGATCTGGCTTCTCAGTTTGAGGATTGGTCCCTTCCCACCCCTACTCCCTCCCCCTCCCCTTTGTTCTTCCTCTGCCAGGAATACCCTCCTTAGTCATCTCTGCCTATGTCCGTCGCATCCCTGGAGACCAGGTTCAAGATTCAGCTCCTTGAAAAAGTCCGCCATGACTAATCCTGATTTTCACTAACTACTTCCTAACTTTACATTCCCTTGGCATTTATATATAGCTCGCACCACAGAATCAATGACTGGTACGTCTTGCATTTTTCTATCATTTCCTTCAGTAGAGAACAAATAGACACATCATCTTTTATATTCGCTTCTATATTCGGCAGGCAATAAATGCTTCCTGAATGGCTGAATCACCAGCGAAAAGAAAGCCGATGCCTCAAAAACTTCTGAAGTAACTGGCTTTTCAGATCACATTTACAATACAGATACTCTATCACCTCCAACATGCATGAGTCCTTCAAGGAGAAGAGACTGAGTTTGCCTTTGAGTCCCACAAATTCACCGCCAAAGATCCAGGTTACAGACCGCGTATACAGGGTGTCTTCCCCCGCCCCCCTCCCGCCCCAAAATGTATACACACTTTAACAGCTGAGAGCTCAATTTTGAAAATGAAATGAATTTTAATAAACACTGCCTTTACAATTTTTCCAAGTGTGTGTATACATTTTTTTTTGGGGGGGGGGAGCCTATATACTAAATAATCCTGGCTATTCAAACCTATCTTGCAATGTACCATTTCAGGCTTCCGAAAGCTTAAAGCCGCGCAGCAGCACGCCTGTGAGTGGAAGGAAGCTGGCACCAGCCTCTTGCAAAAGGGGCAAAACTCTAGTTGGCAGCGAATGTCCCAACACGTGAGCCTCCGCCGCTCAGCAAGGCTCATTAACCACACGAACTTGCTGCCTCAGCGTCCTGGCTTCAAGGAAGTGCCATGATCCGCTCTGGTTATTGTTGAGAGCCAATGATGGGTTAAATTCCCATAAATTAACCGGCGTTTTGGTGGCTTGCCCAAGCATACCGATGGCATCCGTGTGGATAATTTTTTTTTTTTTTTTTAACAAACTCGCCCGCCCGGAGAGCCAGAGGGGAGTGCAGAAGGCGCCGGCCCGGGACTCCGGAGGCGCACGGAGACCTCCAGGACGCGAGCCCCCGAGGCTCCCGGCGTTGGCTCAGCGCGCCCAGGCGGGGCTCTCGAGCGCGGCTGCGTTTTTACGAAATCCCCACCGACGCTTCCTCGGGACCGCGAGCCACACTTCGGCGGCGGCCCAACTTTTCCCGCAAGAAGCATCCGTGTTCCCATCCTCCAAACACCAGCACACCGGGCCCGGGGGATGGCGAGGGCTCGGAGGGGGAGGGACCGGGCTGCTCCGCCGAGGGGCAGGGGGCAGAGACAAAGTGAGCGCCGCCCGCCGCCCGCCGCCCGCCGCCCGCTCACCTTCCAGCAGCACCTCCTTGCCCGCGCGCTTCAGCGCCTGCACGGCCTGGTCGTGGGTGGCCTGGCGCAGGTCCGTGCCGTTCACCGACAGGATGGCGTCGCCCAGCCGCAGCGCCCGGCTCTGGTCGGCCGCCAGCCCCGGGAAGATCTTGGAGATGAGGATCGGCATCCGGTTCTCGCGGCCGCCCTTGATGCTGATGCCCAGGCCGCCCGCCTCCTGCTTCACCACCCGCACCCGGCGCACGGGCGGCGACGCGCCCGCCTCCCCCGCCGGGCCCCGCGGCGGCGCGGGCGGGCTCGGGGGGCCCAGGCCGCGGCTCGGGCTCCCGGGCAGCGAGTCGCCGGCGCCGCCGCCGTTCGGGAGGCCGTTGAAGGCGGCCGCCGCCAGCCCCAGCGCCGGCTCGGGCTCCGCCGCCGCGGCGTCCCCCGTCAGGCTCAGGCTCTCCCCGCTCAGCTCGGCGACCACCCGCACCCAGCGCTCTCTCAGCAGCAGCTCCACCAGCCCCGCTTTGGTGGCCCGCGTCCACACCGCCATGGCCGGTCCCGCTCCCGCCGCCGCAGTCGCCGCCGCTACCCTCATTCCAGTCAGGCAGCTCGGCGCTTCCCCCTTCCCGCCCGAGGGGGCGGGCCCCGCCCCGCCCCCTGCCGATTCATTATTCATGAGGCCACGCCCACCCTCGGAGGGGGCGGGGAGACGAGCCGCTTCCGGGAGATGAAGGAGTTGCCGGGAGACCAGTCCCCTGCAGCCCACCGGACGTGGGCAGCGTGAGCCGAGTGGCGCCCCATCTTACCTCCTCCTTCCTTTCGCCTCTGCCGGACCCTCCACCCACGCCGCCAACTCCTGACCTTTACACCGTGCAATTCACCGGAGCTGCCTAGGCCCGGAAAGCAAAGTCAGAAGCTTCGAGAAGCACTTTGCAAGACGGGGTTGCACGTTCATGCTTGCACTGATTGGTGCATTCTGTGTTTACCGAGGGCTCCGCTGGTGTGCTCTTTATGAGGCCTGGAGATGAGCCGAAGAAGTCGTACCACAGCGGAGCGCTAGCGGTCTAGTGGGGGAGGAAAACGGAGACCCAAACAACCTGGTGTGATAGCATGTGGTTAAGGGATAGAAAACGCCCTGAGAATAGAGTGTAAGAAACATTCAGTTAGGCCTGGGGTCAGCTTCACAGAGGTGACAATGGAAGGTGAATAGGTGGAGCAGAGATAATTGCGGCAAAGGTCCAGAGACAGGATTCCAAGCATGCACTCTGCGTTGTAATCATCTGTTTACTTGCCGCAACGTTAAAGGAAGGTGTCCTCTTCAGCACTGCAGCCACAATCGCTAGGCCTCAAAGATATTTGCAGAATGATGGTTCCTTAGGAAGTTGCCAGAATTTCCATGTGAACAGAGCATAAGCCCAGTGGAGGCAACAAGTATAAGTGTGAAAAGCCTCCTATAATCAAATATCAAGGAATTTGAATTTGGGTTTGCAGAACTTTCTTATTCTGGAGGCCGTGGCCTTTTGTTGGGGCAAGTGTATCTGAGAGCTCCAGAAATTGTATGCGTGTTGCAGAGCCGACAGCAGCTTTTATCCAAAGACAGGGGTGATGCTATCCTCCCACTTCTTCCAGCTTCATGGAATGGAAGAGCTGAGGAAGATGAGGCCCAGAAAGCCAACAACTGGCCCAAAGTCCACAGTGAGGAAGCAGAGAAAACAGCCTCCTGGACCAGTGCTTTAAAAAAAAAAACACACACACACAAACCTCAGGGCACTATCGCTCGGTCCAGAGCGGGAGGAAAACAACATACCTCAAACCTCAAAAATGAGGGTCCAGAAATCACACTGCCGAGAAAGGAAGACCTCAGCAAACACATGAAGTTGAGGTGCCCTCTTGCAGCAGTCAAAGTGAAATCCCCATGTTTTCCTTGGGGGTGGGGTGGAGGGAGGCGGTTTACAGGCTGCAAGAGGGAGTGTGCACCAATTCCTGTAAAAGGGGCTGTATACCTGCTTGCTCACAAGGTACGTGTTGAAGCTCGTAGTAATCCATGTCCATGCACCACTCTATGAATGCATTCATGTGTTGGCAAAACTTCCAAAGAGCCTCCTATATCAGGAGTTAAAACAATAAAAATAGACTGGAAAGCACCCAGAACCCAAATGAAGAAAGAATTCAAAATGAGAAAACTATCTTACAAAAAAAAAAAAAAATCATTACAGCAGAATCCACTTTGCAATTAATGGAGCAGGATTTTCAAAGCTGCAAATGTCAGCAGCAGCTCAACCCTCCAGCCCTCTCCTAAATCAACTGCAGTGAGGCCAGCTTGCTGTTCCAGCAGGTCCTGATGTGCCCAGTACACCTGCAGTCCCAGACATTTCTGGCTTTGCTCCAGCTGAGGCGTGAGCCCCCAGAGGTCTGAGTTACGTGAAATTTCTGCTTATTAGAGAGCATTTAGCAGTTGATTCCTTACAGTCTGAGCACGATTTTGAACACTTTTACTAATGTAATCACCCAGAGGTTGGGCACTTAAGGGCATCTATTAGCAAAAGGGAAGTGCTGGAAATTCTCTCAAAGTAGCAAGACCTTTTGGTCCATAGAGTTGGAGGAAGTTACAGATCTTTGAACTAAATTGTAAATGAGAGCACTTATATAAGATAGTACGTTATATAACAAAATATTTAACCCTGGGAGGAGAGAAGGTAATGGAGACTGATACTTGGATTACTTTGAACTATATCCATAAAAATTCCCAAACTATCAAGCTGTTTTTACTAGGTATTCCATTAGAGGCCCTGGCAGGGTAGCTCAGTTGGTTAGAGCATTGTCCTGATATGCTAAAGTTTCACATTAATTCCCTCCTCTCCCCGCCCCTACCCTTTCCTTGTCAGGACACATAATGAATCAATCAATGAATGCATAAGTGGAACACCAAACTGATTTCTTTGCCTTCCTAGCTTCCTCTTTAAAAAATAAATACAAGGTATTCCATCAGAACCTAAATTAATTTTCAACAATCACATGACTACATTCAAACTCACCTAGTCAGCCCCTCCCAATGATGCCTTCCAAATTCCTGCCCGAGTCTATCCTTCCAAACACCTCCTGCCCCTTTCAACCGCTACCTACCTACCAAGTTGGATGTTGGACTGGTTATCTTATTAGCTTGTTTCTCCCTTTGCCTCTTCTGTAGCAACTGAGCAGCTCTTGCTTGTGTTTCTCTGGCATCAGGCCACCTTTGTGATAGTGACCTTCAGGCTTGCTAAGGGCTGCAAGATTCCCACCTACCAAGTTTCCCCTGTCTACACAATTCATTGGGATTTTTTTTCTTTGAACAATTTTATTTCATGCTTGGCTGGTTTGCCCAAATAGGTTTAAAAATACAGGAGGGCGGGGACCACCCATAGACTTCTTTTTATTCCCCACTATTCAAAAAATATTGCCTTGCAGAAAAGGAACTCATTAAACTGTGATTGACTGACATTCAGTGCCTCCTGGGCTGTAGTCATTTCATATAATCCCTCTGAAGGTTACTGGTTCCTTGCAGAGTGAAAATTGCCATGTAGGAGATCTCCGGTAGTCAGTGGAAATCTACTTACTGTGGATAATGAAATCTGAAATAAAATGAGTACGCATCTGTTTCCACCGCTTCCCAGGGACTTGGAGACAAGCTTAGATAATTTTTGAACAGCCATGTTATCTACTTCTAAAAAAGGAAATGGCGGAGATAATTCCTAATAACCTTTCATTCCTGTCACCTATCAATATGTAATCTCCTCTGCTCAAGCTGTTACCTTATTATTTCTCAGAACAAGGCAGAAATCTTTGCTAGTTTAGAAGGAGGAGGTTGGAAGAGCTCTCAGTTCCCTGATTTCCTACAACTCTATGACTCAGGCTCAGATTCTGTGCCCTCTCAAAACCCAATGGTCTGTTTTTTCCTTCTCCTTCACAGTATAATATAGCACGGTCATTAAGAGCACAAGGTTCAAGTCGTATGTGGCCGGTTGGTAGCTACATGACAATGGTCAAGGGGTTGAGGTCATGGGCCTCAGTTTCTGTTTTTGGAAGAATCCAGACACCTTGTACCTCCGAGGGTGGTGGTGAGAGTTGACTGGGATGACGTGTGCAAAGCGCTGAGCAGCACTGTACCTGCCACACTGGGAGAGTTCCATGAAAAGTATCCAATCCACTGCTGTTATTATTACCTGTTGACCTTCAGCGGCAGCAGCAACAATAAGACCTTTGGTAGAAACTCTGGAGCTCAGAAACTATACTTTATCTAGGAATGAGCCTGCCATGATACCATTTGGTTCCAGGCTTAAAGGGCAAATGGCCAAATTAATTTCGGTGACAAACAGATCTTGAATAAAGGGAGAACATATTGCCAAGAGTCCGTCAAAGGAAAGAATTAGTGGATCTGGGGCTGGTTCCAAGGTTTGAGTGTTGTGTAATTTCATAAGGAAGGAGGGCCCCAGGCAAAACTGCAGCCCTTAGCAAGCCTGAAGGTCACTACCACAAAGGCGGCCTGGTGCCAGAGGAACAAAAGCAAGAACTGCTCAATTGCTACTAAAGAGGCCAAAAGGAGAAATAAGCTTGTAAGATAATCTAACATCCAACTTTGAAAAATTATCCACGCATAACTCTGCCCCAGTTAGAAGACAGTGAGATCAACTGTCCTTTTCAGTGGGCCTTACTCCTTTGCCTTCCAGGAGAAATATCCTAAAATGTATTTTTCTCTCCTGCACAAACATGAAGTGAAAGAGGGAAAGGTGCATATATCCTTCAGCTGATGCAAGCACATTTAAAAATGTATCCCGCCAAGATAAATCACTATCCATCTGAAACCCACAAAAATGGATTAACTATCTCATGCTTTATGACTATGAAAACCCACATCTGCTAACCACATTACTAATGAGAAGCAGCTGGTGACAGTTTTGTAGCTCTGTGACTTTCTTTTTAGGAAAATATTAGCAAGGACATACTAAGCAGAAGGCTAGTTTCATTGAATCCACTTAGTTATGGAAAATTACCATCGCTTTTAAATTGACAATCATGGAAATAACATAATTTGCCATGAAATTCATATAAGGTTCCAAAATAAAAATCCCCTTTTCCCCAATATTAGTTCTGACAGAATTTCCAGTACCTCATAAGACTTGCAGTCTTATAATCCGCTTCAATTCTTGTTTTGTTTTTTTTAAAAATATGTATTTTTATTGACTTCAGAGGAGAAATAGAAACATCAATGATGAGAAAGAATCACCAATTGGCTGCTTCCTGCACGCCCCCTACTGGGGACTGAGCCGGCAACCCAGGGCATATGGCCTGACTGGGAATCAAACCGCGACCTCTCTGTTCACAGATGAATGCTCAAACACTGAGCCATACCGGCCAAGTTCAACCCCTATTTTTCATATGCTTTTGAACACCAAATCATGTTTATTGATGCATATGGTATTTCTTGGCCTTTGTCCCACAGCTTTAACTCCCTCCTGAATCAGTTAACGAAGTAGCCAACTGCGGGGATCAATGGGCATTTTTAATGTGCTATTTCTTTGAATATGAGTGGTTCACAACTATGTTTTCCACTGAATGACAATTTTTAACCAAACTTCAAGGCTCACTCCTACCAGTCTTACTTACTTCTCACTACATGTTGGCTTAAGAGTTCTTTATCCAAATCTACTTAGCTTTTTTACATACTTTTCTAAGATGCTTAGCTTTCCTCTGTGGAAGTTTCCTCTACTCTTACTTTTCCCAGCAACCTCACCTGGTTCTTAATTACTATCAACCAGGGAAGCTGCTCGCCTGCAGGGAAGGGCGTTTCCTTGAATGAGACATGCATGCTCTCAGTCCTGTGGTTAGGCCCTGCCTGCCCTCTCAGCCTCATTTTCCTCCATTTCTAAAACATGCTGGGTACTAACCATGTGCAACTTCTGGCAGTCCCTTGGACAGGCTATGTTCTCTCTGGCTTCAGGCTTTTGCACTGAGAATGCTCCAGGGATGCATTTTTTTCTTCTCTTTTCCACCTTGCTAATTACCACCTATTTCTCGAAGAGTTATTAGCTTGAGGACCATCTCCTCCTACCTTCAACCCTGCTGATTAAGTGCCCCTTCTCTAAGCTCATCTCTCCTATAGCATCACTGATCTACTTGTTACAACTGGGTGGTAAGCTTCTTGAGGGCTGGGGTCCTCTTCTCATCTGTTGTTGGTACATAGCATATAGTAGGCACTCAATGCAGGTGGAGTATTAAGCTCTTTAACTCCCCGAAGACAAAGGACTGACACAAAGCTAGGCCTTACTAGCTTGGTCTGTGCTGTTCAATACAAAAGCCACTAGCCAAACATGGATATTTACATTAAAATAAAAAAATTCAGTTCCTTCATCATGTTAGCCACATTTTCAAGTGCTGAACAGCCACATGTGGCTAGTAACTATTTTATTGTACACTACGGATTCAGAACATTTCCACCACTACAGACAGTTGTGCCGATCTATATCATAAAATACCTTGAAATACGAACAAAAAAGACAACACCTTAGGAACAAACGTTATGGATATGCACAAACATCCAAAGCACATAAAAAATGAGCAACCTCAATAGTAAGTAGGCAAATGCAAAATAAAATATTAGTTTTCACCCATCAGATGGGCTAAAACGAAAATTTAGCACTACATTGGCAAGATGTAAGAAAATGAGTAAGTTCAAACACATCCACTCCCCAGGCAACTAAAAGTGAAAGAAAACACAGTGTGAGTTAGCAATTTCACTCCCAGGAATTAACCCTAGAGAAACCTCACTGAGGTGGGCATTAGCAGACAATGTACTAGGCTGTTCACTGCAACACTCTATATGATTTACACACAAGACTGCCCATCTAGAGCTAAAGCAAGTGCTCATCCAGAGCAAGAAATGCTAAAACACCTTCCCTGTTATCAATGAAACGAAAAATCCTTTGCATACCGTGCCTGCTAATCATATGATTGGGTCCCTACAGCCAAGAGACAGCGGGAGAATAACCATAAGAACACCATCCTGGCCTCTAACAAACCATTGTGTGACCATTGCAAAAAAGCAGCCTTTTCTCCTCTTAGTCTCCACTGCCATGAATATAAAAATGAGGCCAAGAAACACAAGGTTTCTTTCACAAACCTCTGCTTCCTTCCCATCCCTTCCTCCAACCAGAACAATTCTACTTTTATCTATATCATATATTGCAGTTCAAAATGAAGTTCCATTTCAAGAAAGTTTTGATGCTTAAAAAAACACCCACACTAGATGGTCTCTAACTTTTTTCCAATATTCCAGTATAATTTTCTGTAATCTACAAGGTGAAGGGTACATTAGCCATTCAGAAATCAGATTACTAACTACCTGAAAAAACTGTCTTGTTGGCTTTTGAAGGGAGAGGGAGAGAGAGATAGAAACATCAATGATGACAAAGAATCATTGATCAGCTGCTTCCTGCACACCCCCTACTGGGGATCGAGCCCGCAACCCGGGCATGTGCCCTTGACTGAAATCGAACCCAGGACCCTTTAGTCCGCAGGCCGATGCTCTATCCACTGAGCCAAACTAGATAGGGCAGAGAAAACTGTTTTTAAAGCATTTGAGTCAGGTCAGGAAAAAAAAAAAAAAAAGAGGCTTTTTCTATGTATCAGATCAAAAATTTTCTGTGGAACCCAAATATGAGCTAGTCTGCAAAATGCCCGAAACAGAAACATAATGTGTTTCAGTTACACAATCCCCAAAGTAAAAATCACCCCAAAACATGGGCACTGACGTGTCCTTTTAATGCTGCTTTGCCTTTCCTTCCCCAAATTCCCTCACTTGCCCCAATCAGTTTCTGCTTCATTTGTATTCAAAGTTCTCTACTCAGGAAGAATTTCAAGGCTCAAAGCTCCTACTTCCCATACCATTTATGGAAATCCAAGTCTCTGGCTGGAAATGTTGCAAAGGAATGCTTTCTACTTTCAGAGGTTTTACTTCTTCACTCAGATGGTCTGTGGGCCCTCTCTGTCAGAATGACACCCTCCAAGATCCACAAGGTTTCAGAATGTTTAAGGTTAAGTAAATCAAGTCATAAACTAGCCTCCAGTTAATAAAGAGTCTCTGAATTTATAGCTCTACAGTCAGTTAAAAGCAAGTGAGTTAATATTTAAGGCATCCTCACCTCCCTCTGGTCACATTCAATGTAGACCAGTGACTTGAACTTTGGTTTCAACTACACAAAACACATAAGACATTTCTTAGACAAGGCAGGATCTTCTAGCCCACTGAAAGTTTGTACCACTCCAGTCAAATGCAGACGAGGAGAACATGCCACACTAAAGACATTTATTCAAGAGGAAAGTTTCTTTACACAGAGGGCCTAGAATTTTGCATTTGCTTATGTAAGTCAGCCCTGATTATCACTGTAAACCATCTGAACAGGTAGGGCCGAGAAGTTGTGTCCATTATAAACCTTGTTGTTCCCTCTCAGCAAACGAACCTGAAATAGGCTGTCCTTTATGTTATAATGTATTGGGACTTTCTTTCTCTCTCTCATTACCTATTCATTCTCTTCCCACACCTGTACTTTAAATTCTCACATTTTTTCTTTTCCAGACTCCATCTCAGCAAAATGTTTTTTCACCAGCTTTTTTACTCATGATGTCATCAGAACGCACATACTTCTCTGCCTATACCGCAACCCTTCATGCCCCAAACACACACACAAACAAAACCACACATACTGGGTTTCCGCAGGCATGCAACAGAATACACCCACTGAGATGGGAAAGAAATCTATCTGCTCAGTTCAGGTTAAGTATAGTTCTTCACTTTCTCATTTAAAAGATCACATTAAAACTAGTCAGTCAACACCCACAGGAATAACAATGTCAAAGACAGTAGACAAGGACAGAAAAGGTGAAATATATGACAGGCTTTCTGATTCCCACTTCCACTCCTACTGCTTAACAAAATGCCCAATGTTTCCTGAACCTCTGAAACTGGCATATTAACTAACAAGTGAAAAGAGAGTTAATGGGACTGATACGCCAAAGCCCAGTTTTTTCCTTTTAAATAAAATTAATACCCGGCAACCAAAGGCTTCTGCTTTTCAGATGGAGCACTGCCCTTAAAATTCTCCCTTGGCCAGTGGTAGACAGGCTATATTGGATAAGCAAGCAGAGCTCCCTGGCCCCCAGGGCAATGCTGGGCAGGCCCCCACGCTTCAGCAGGGGCTGCCGGCTGGAGGCTGGCAGACAGTGAAGGTCATCAGCACTCGAAAGCCTCAGGCATGTGTTAGGGAAGACAGGGTAATATTTTTTCTCCCTGAGATTATGGTCTGAAAGCACAAACAAGACCCTGAAAAAGTTGCATGAATTTGTAGCTACACAGAACATTATCCCAAGTACAAATACCTTGGTGTTTTCTTTTACTCTCATTCAATGAAGGGAAATTACTGCCCATTACTTTGAATGGTAACATTTATGCCTGACCAGTGTGGCTCAGTGGTTGAGCGTCACTTATGAACCAGGAGGTCCGGGTTCGATTCCTGGTCAGGGCACATGCCTGGGTTGTGGGCTTGATTCACAGTAGGGGGTGTGCAGGAGGCAGCCGATCAATGATTCTCTCTCACCATTGATGTTTCTATCTCTCTCTCCCTTTCCTTCCTCTCCGATATCAATAAAAATATATGAATGATAACATTTATAATGACTCTAATTCTAAAGAATAACATTTTTTTATTAACATGATTTGTGAAAACACATAGGGTAGAACAGTTCAAGGAAGGACACAGACAGTGCCCTGTTTTAGGTCCCAAATTTCTTCTTTTTGATGGGTGGTGGGAGTTGAGCGATGATGTCATCCAGGGGCCTTTCTACTGCCACCAGTGTTCTTTCATCCAAAAGATCCATGAAGAGTAGAGGCTGTGGAGAGATGAGAATGACTCTAGCAGGAGTTAGGCTCCACTCACGCCTAGTCCTAAACAGAGGACCTAGAGCTAAACGGTTAATCTAGTTCAAGACTAGAGGGATGTAAATCTCTGACAGCCCTTCCTGCCCTAGGACTCAAAATGGATGAAAAGGCTGGAAACTCTTAACTGAGTTCACTCAAAAGATTTCAGCAAGGTTTTTCATGTTTCTCTGTACAGAAAATCTAATTTGTTAGAATCAGTGTTAACTGAGGGCTTGGAGCCCAAATTCTTGACAAACGACAAGTAACAAATGCATAAGAAGCTAATCGTGCTTGAATAATTCACAGACCTTCCTCCCCTTAAAAAAGAATGCATGCAGACCCCTGAGAAAATGCTCCAGGGCAGCCATGGAACCCCATCGGAGAGGCATAAATATGGAACTTCTAAAGTGGCACAAACAGCTGTAATATCATAGGTTCAATGATATGTTTTCTATACAGTGAAAAGCCTAGCCCAGAAAAGAAAGTCGTAATAGTCAATGACTTCCATTTGCTGTAAATTATCTTATGGAACATTCTCCAACCAGAGGTAAAATTTAAAGGCCAGCTTTACCACAAAGACCCCACCTGAGCTCCAACATTATTCCGCACTACCTACATATTTCATTTTGGTTAAGTATGATGTGCCTCTAATCTATTAAAGCAAGAACAATGAAACAGACATAAGGGACACACATCCTCAGAAAGTTACTTGTCTCCCCAAATGAGGTCCTCTGCATGAAAAATGAGGGTGACATTTTGACAGCTTGTTACATTTGGATAATATCACAAGGAATCAACAGTCCAGAATATTATGCAAGATGCTTTACCTTATATCTCTTAGAAATTTTAAAGGCATGGGCTGTGCGCCTCCTGATGACATCTGATTCATTTGTGGGAGGAAGTGGATTGTACAGTAAGGTTTTGTCATTTGGAAGAGGCTAAAAAGACAAAGATACACTGTTTAAGTCGTTTTTATTGGGCTTATACAGAACAATGGACCATAGTGATTTCAGGCAAACACTATCTCCCAACCACCATATACATTTTCTTCCTCCCTGACTCTCCTCACTTCAGGAAGACAGCTGTAGTCACTCTTCCTGCTGTACTGTAGAGGGGGGCGTATGAGGCAAAAGGAGCTTGGTACTCTGCCGGCAAGATCAAAGAGCCCAGCTGGGGCTTCCGCCAGTCTTGTCAGTAACACTGAGCGACAGGAATAAACTGGCATGTGCAGCAGGAGCTTAGCCCATGAAGGTTCTGCTTTCTACACTACCCCCAACCAGGTCATGGGCTGGCCCAGTGACTAAAGTTCTCCCCAGGAGAAATGGCAACACAACCACCTCCACTGATGTCACTGACACCTCAAGAGATGGCCTCTGGCCAAGCAAGTGATATTTCATCTCTGACTTCCTTGGGAAATAGCTCTGCCCGCAACAGGAAGTGATGGACTTATCACCAATGCCTGGGAAAAAATATGGGCCGATCTGGACTGAGTTACAAAGAGGCAAGCGAGTGGGAGAGGCCCTTCCTGTATCACTCAAACTGCAGAAGGCACTTGTCAGCCAGCTCTACTTCCCACACCCAGAGGACGCAGGGCCCATGAGAAGAGTTCCAGTGACACACCACCACGCACCCTCCTTGAGAGCCATCTGCTGCTTTCTCCATGTTCCTTCCACCCCCACCCTCAGATATACAACACTGTGTGTGTTGCTTGTAATCTAAGCCCAAAGTGCATTGCAGGCACGGCCACAGTTCTGTGCTCCCAGGAAAGAAAGTGCCTGCTCAGAAAATACATAAATTTGCAGTGAATCAAAACAACAGCTCGCAGAGGATGGAATCTAGAACCGAAAAAAATGCCCACCTAAATCATAGCTGGACTTTTTTTTTAAGATCTTAAGACCAACTCCTCAAGCCTGCAGATAATGTCTGAGTACATACAGCCTAGGGACATATGTGGTCTAAACCACAGTCTGTATCTCCTTTGATGAAACCACATTATTCAGACACTCAGGGTACAAAGGTGGAAGTGATTTAGCCAAATCAATGGTTTTCCCTCCCAATGAGGGTCACTTTCTGAATACTGACCTAATCACTTTCCCACTTAAGTTTATGTACTCATAGGCAAAACAAAGAAGTGGTTAAATTAGCAAAAACCAGTACACAAAGGCCCACTCCTTCCCTGGGAGCCTAAAGAATGTGGGAACAAAAACAAGGAATCTGCAAAACTAAAGGTTTCTCTCCTCCAAAGAATATAACAGGAAAACTTTATTCTGATTCTCCTTCCTCTAATTTATTGTACCTTTTGCTTTTAGAACTTGCTGTTTCTTAAGTAAAGAAGATTCAGTGAGCGCAAGGGTGAAGAGGCAAAGAACTCACCAACGACTTGTCGATGATGCAGAACATGTAGGCATCGTGGAGAAGAATGTGCATTGGTCTCTTGGGATGAAAACTGATGTGTGTGATGGGAGTATCCCTTTGGAGCCAAAGGTAATGAAACCCCTGCTTCTGGATGGTCCGGCTCCACTCTGTATACTGTTTGTCTGGGATGCTATATTCAAATATCTGAGGAAGAGTATTATTTGGAAGGAATGCTGGCTCATATCCAGAAAGACCAGAAAATATCTATATAAATCTTGAATATGCCATGTTCAGCCTTATGCTTTCTCACTCTTTTTTTAATAAAAAAAATTTAAGGTAAATTACAGACTAAATAATTAAACAGCATAGAAAGGTTTATAATGAAAAGTCACCCTGTAATCTTTACATCTCTTCTTCCCAAGACAAAAGTAGCCTATTTTTCTTGTTAATATCTTTTCAGATATTTTATGCATACAAGACACACAATGACTCACATCAATATAAGTCACTCATGGCCCTTTGAAGAGCCCTTTGAAGAACACTCACTTTTTGGATGTACATGATTTACTTATCTAGTCTGTTTAATAGACATTTAGATTATTTCTAATCTTTGGCTACAACAAACAAGGCTGCAATGATTATCTCTGTATCAATGTCCTTCTGTACAACTGAAAGCATATTATCTGTAGGAAGAACTTTTAGAATGGGAACTTCAAATCAAAGATTATGTGCATTAAAATTTTTTATAGATATTGCCAAAATGTTCTCTAAAGAAGTCATACTAATTTCAGCAATGTATGAAGCGCTGTTTCCCTATACTCACACCATGTGTATTATTACGTTTATTGATCTTTGCTAATCTACCAGGTACATAAACCTCTCCCACCAGTTTTAATGACTGAAGAACTTATGGGACCAACTGCCAGTAAAAGGAATCAGGTGGACATGGTCCTTATATGTGACAAAGGAGGTGGCTTCACTAATCTTTCAGTCTTTGGTTAAGGACACAGATCTATGAAACTGAAAAGAGAGATTTCATTTTTTTTGGCTAGAATGTATATGTGTGTGCATGTGTGAGTGTAGAAACTACTAATCAAAGTAGTACACACCATTTGCCTGGAAGTCTACTTAAATGTGCTTCACGGATCACATTTAAATCTTTCCGGTGAGGAAGGTATTATCATGCCCATTTTTCAGATCAAGTCAGGATAATTTCAGAGCATGTTCTATAGCTCAGGTATTTTATAGATCTTTTTAAAACGACAATCTTCTCACAACTTAGTATGGGAAAAAGCAGTAAGCTAAGCACTAATTTTGGCTGATATTAGGTACCCGATTTCCTCACCTGCAAAAGTGAAGGTTAATTATATTATTTTTTAGTCACTTTCAACTCTCAAAATCTTATTCCATCCCATACCCAGTCTAACACCAGAGTCCATGTTCTCTCCAGTCTAAAAGGACCTTTATATCATCCAGCACTTTCAAAGAAAAAGTCTTCCACAATTATCATCTCAGCTTCTAAGTTACCACCCAGCAAAAAAGAATTGGAAAGCACCGGAATCTCTCACCTGCTGGTCAGAATGAGCGATGACCAGGTTGTTGGTTTTGGGGGCTATGGCCAGAGCAGTCACAGGGAAATTGTAAGCAGGAACCGTGCAGTGAAGCTGGGAAGAAGCAGACACAAAAGACAACTCTATATGATACCGGCACCCAGGAAAGACGGGATGGTCTAACTCAGCTGTTTTTAAACAGCATTCCTTGGAACTCAAAGGGTCCTATGGAAGTTCCCATGACAGGCATTTCTCCAAACAGTAAAATTTAATCTCATTAAAAAAAACCATGTTTAACTACTTACAAAACTGACAGCATTTGCAAAGTAAAGCTTTCCCTGTTGTCTTGATATCAACGTAAACTGATCATAAACATGTCATTAAACAGGGAATCTACATATCCACACTGGATTTAAAAAATCAATGCTGCCCTGGTCGGTGGTGCAGTGGTTAGAGCGTCGGCCGATGCACAGAAGGGTCGCGGGTTCGAGTCCCGATCAAGAGAATCTGGGTTGCAGGTTTGATCCTCAGCCCAAGTTGGGCGAGTGTGGGAGGCAACCAGTTGATGTGTCTCTCTCACATTGATGTTTCTCTCTCCTTCTACTCTCTTGGGAAAGCAATGGAAAAATATCCTCTGTAAGAATTAACAACAACAAAAAAGAAGTAAATCAATGCCTAGGCACGGACATTTACGTACAATTGCAAGGCATGTGCACCACTACAGGACAGTCTTAAATGTGAGGCAAGCCTCGAAGAGCAAGCAGTACATACTATTCCCGCAATGTAATAAAGTTGTGTAGTTAATAGGCAAACCCATTAAATGCAACAACCTGGCATCCTATATAATAAAAGCCTAATATTCAAATTGTTCTACTGGGAGTTTGACCGCTCGCTATGACGAGCGCTGACCACCAGGGGGTGGCACAGAACATTGCGGGCATTGGCGACGTGGCGTTGGCAGCGGACGGAAGTAGAGGCGCTGCTGGCCCTGACGAGAGTGGTACCATGGCAGGATGGTAGAGCAGGTGAAAAGGCGGCACCAGACCAAGGCGGGTGCGAGCGGGGGCCTAACAGCCCCGCTGATTGCTGGGGGGGAGGGGGGGAGAGGCTGCCGCCCAGTTCCCAGATACTGAAGGAGTGTATGTGTGTTGGGGGGGGGCGGGCCGTGGGGGAAGGCCCCGACCCTGACCAATTGCCCTACAGATGGTGATTAGTGGCCGGCAGGCCCCGATCGCCTGATTGGGGCTGGGCTGGGCTGGGGAACTGGGGGGTGGGTGGTGGCAACCAACCTCCCGTAGCGCCCAGGTCAGGGGCTGCGATCTCTTGCCGGCTACCTGGGGGCAGAGGTGACAGGGACAAAGGTGAGAATGCAAGTGTCCGCCAAGCTCGCTCTCACTCCCCCTGCTACCCTCCACCAGGACACCAGGGCTCGCATGCTGGGGAAACCCATGCACTCAGGTGCCAGGTGCCCACGAGGAGCCCGCCCCACACCCGCGTGGCCTCTTCCGGGTGAGCCAGGCAGCAGCCTCTGGCACCACAGAGGCCGGTCGGGCTCCCCGTGGGTTAGCGCAGGACCTGCTCTGTGAGGCTGGCCCGGAGAGAGCATGCTGCTCGCCTGGCTTCCATGTGGTGCTGCTGGGCAGCCCAGAGACCCACACTGTGCCCCAGCCCGTGGTATCCAGCTACGCTCACCACATTTCCACATGGGGACTCAGCACTGTGACTCAGGCAGAGGGGGGTGCACAGGGGCCAGGTGTTGCCCAGGGCCCAGAGGTCAGCTTCAATCATTGGCCAGGCCCAGGGACCACACCCGTGTACAAATTTCGTGCACTGGGCCTCTAGTTCTATAAACTTAATGTTTATCCCAAGTTTTGGGTGGTTCTTATCTGACTTTTATGATGAAGATTTTTAAGGGACCACTAGTGCTTCATGAGTAAACGACAATATCACTACTGATTCATGAAAAATGTTTTCCTGCTATTCCTTTGTTAAATTTCTGGTTCTGTTTAATTTAAAACATACCTTGAGATTACAAGGCAAACTATTAAAACGAAATTGTTACTACCTGTAACTATTCACCTTGGTAAATAAAAAATTTCCTCTCCAAAATACAGAAATAACCTAGATGTTGACTCATCACCCATAAATCCTTAATTTCAAATTTCTGTGCACGAGTGGCTTCAGTTCCCACTGACTCATTTTAATATGGTAGATTATAGCTTTTAGATTCCAAACAAGTAAAACAGGAAAACTTCTTTTTAAAAAAAAAAGCCTAGTAATTTTCCAGGTCATATCAATGAGTCTTAAAACTGCAGGGCTAACTTCTTTTGTTTGCTGCTACTAAACCCAAAGCTCACCTTTAGATGTTTCACATTGTACACATGGACTCCAGCACTGGTGCCCGATGCAGCTAACCAATTCCCATCTGGACTGACCGCCAAAAGACACATGGACTCCACTGTCCCTGTGAGGACAGAACAACAGTTAAGTCTGAATTTAATGTCCACAGCCAGCCCTGCTTTGATGATGGCAAAAGCCAGTAAGACCCTCAGTTTGAAATTACTAATGAGATTTCCTTTTTAAAAATACATTTTTATTGATTTCAGAGAGAGGAAGAGAGAGATAGAAACATCAATGATGAGAGAAAAATCACTGATCAGCTGCCTCCTGCACACCCCACACTGGGGATTGAGCCCACAACCTGGGCATGTGCCCTGACCAGAATCGAACCATGATCTTCTGGTTCATACGTGGACACTCAACCACTGAGCCATTAGGCTGGGGATTAGGATAATTTCTTGATAATTCTGCAAATAAGTTTTAGATAAGTTAATCTATATTCACTTAATAACCACTCTTCATATAAAGAGGAGCCTGAGAGATAAACATGAAGGCATCACTTGCTCAGGCCTGAATGAGACACTGCCTACCATAGGAAACTTTGTTTTAAAATCCTTCTCTACCAAGTAGTTTTTTTAAAATGTATTTTTATTGATTTCAGAGAGGAAGGGAGAGGGAGAAAGATAGACACATCAGTGATGAGAGATAATCATTGATCAGCTGCCTCCTGCACACCCCCCACTAGGGATTGAGCCTGCAACCTAAGCATGTGCCCTTGACCAGAAATGAACCCAGCACCCTTCAGTCCACAGGCCGACGCTCTATCCACTAAGCCAAACTGGCTAGGACTCTACCAAATAGTTTTTAATCAAAGTTAGGGACAAATAGCCAATTCAATAGGCTTGAAGCATATCTTAAATTTATTGAGTTGCTTGTTATAGATTTAGCACTAAGGGAGCATGGGCACATATGAGCCATCCTTGTCATCAAAAGATTTTAAACCAATCTGGCAACATAAAGACTCATGTGGGATAAAAATCAGACAGTGATGCTATATGCCAAAATACATGCTGCTACAACACCCCCAAACGATGAAAAAGCTCTAAAGCAAGACATAAGCCAGATGCTAAAGGATGGGTGAGGTAGGTAGAAAAAGACGAAGAACAACGTGAGCTAAGTAACAAGAACTGAAATACACAGGTTTGAAGGCTGTGAAGAAACCAGCCTGACTCTAAGGGGGAAGTGAGATGAGAGAGAAGAAATAAAAGTGTGTGTGTGTATGATGCAGAGCCTAATTTTAAGGGATGCTAAGTACAAGATAAAGAGTCTAAATTTTATAATAAAAACATACAGGTACTCAATAAAAACTGGCAGTTTACTTTATCTGATTACTATCTTATGGGTTTCTTTTCCTGCATGCTTCTGAAGCAGCTTATGAACAGTGAGAGTTTAAGTTAAAAGAGTTGACTTTTGTCCTGGCCAGTGTGGCTCAGTTGGTTGAGCGTTGTCCTGTGCACCAAGTGATGGCTGGTTTGATTCCCGGTTAGGGCACATGCCCAGATTGCAGACTTGATCCCTGGTAGGGGGCATGCAGGAGGTAGCCGATCGATGTTTCACTTTTACATCAATGTTTTTCTTTCTCTCTCCCTCTCTCTCTAAAAAATCAATAAAAATATTAAAGAGAAAAAAAGAGTTGACTTTCCATGCTGATGGAGTCTAAATGACAGTGAAGCTGCTATAATCCAGGGTGAGGAAGAAGGGAAAAGGCCCATGGGAAGTATCCAAGAAAACTACCAGCTTAAATTAAACTGGGTGACTAAGTCCTCAATAATTAACTCAACAAGTTAACTACAGAATCACTTATTCATGCATACTCATTCATGTTCTCAAAGAACAGGGAAAAACGGTCATGAACTTTATATGACAGGTAATGAAACTGTATGTGTAAGTTCATCTTTATAAAAACAACCAAAAAATTAACATGTCTATAAAATGCATACTATCTACACACACACTGGAATATACAAACATATTAACAGTAGTCAGGATTATAAATTATTTTAACGTTCTTGTTGCCCTGCTAACAAAAACTCTTCTAGGGGTGATGAAACTTCTCTGGCCCCAAATAAGGAATCAAAAGCCCAGTGAGAAAAGAGTAGGTGTGAGGAATATTTCACATCTCATCAACGTTTTTATTTGCCAGATATCTCCTCCTACTTTAAATTGCAAACATGTGAGTGAATGTACTTGCATGGTGGAGAAGAGTATTAGTGAATACCCAACAATGAATAAGGTTTAAAAGGAAAAAATAGATACATCAGAGGCTGACAACTCTCTCCTATGGCCAGTTACCAAATTCCTACCTGACTGAGCCTGAAAAGTATGCAGGTGCTTGAAGCTTCCTTCCAACAGCCGAATGATATGCAGAGACCCTTGATTTGAAGCCACAAAGAGCTTTGTTGAATCTTCAGAAAACAAAATCTGAACAGCAGAGCGAAGGAACGCTGGCATTTTGGAAACCTTGGGGTGAACCAGTAGTAAAAAACCAGTAAGAGAGAGAAGTGAGACCTAGAGGCCATCAATAATAATCATAGCCAGCCTTAAGTTACATTAATGCTTCCTGTGTCTAAGGAAGCCAACTGATGAAGGGTCTGGGACACTGACATGTCTAACGTAACCGATACACCCCTGCCTCCTTTATCTCTTCAAAAGCCTAAACTTCACTGCCACTTTCTGGCATTTCCCTACTCTTTCAAAAACAAAAGCAAATCAAAGTGGAAAAAATAAAACACTTTTTTTGGTAACAGCTGTCTCCAAATACCTTTCACTGAGTAAGGATTCATATCCAGTGCATTCCCACTTCACACAAAAATTCACTTATGAATTTTCTTCTTGTTCAACCAGACACTGGGTTATCACTTACCCTGTGGAGGCTTATGTTGTCATGTTCATAATTCAACCGACAGAGAAAAAACCGAGAAGCCGTGGAATACGCTATCCAACTTCCACATGGGGATACACAGCTGCAAATAATGTTCTCGGGACCCTGCAATGTTAGGAATCAGATGAATGTTCAAGTAAAACTTCAGACAACGAGGTTCACTGTGACATGAATCCCCAAGCTGTCGTCACTCTAGGCGTGCCCACGAACACCTACACATAATCCTGACAGTTATATGCTCTGTGTCACTATGATTATGTCAGCAGTAGAGTACCTAAATGGTGTGGCTTTGGTTTCCAAGAGCTGAAGTCTGTGAATGAACTAAATACTAGTAATCTCAGCCCTTGTGTACCTCACAGGTAGCTTCGTACTAAACCCTACCATTAGAAACCCGAGCAGAGAGGCACTTCACGCAGGAAAGCTTTGGAGGCAAGGTGACTGGGAACATTGATTTTGTTTGTTTTAGGACAGTCTACTGTAAAGATCTCTAAGAAGACCTGTCCTGCTGGCTCAGTTAGATGGAGCATGTCCTGCAACACCAAAGGCTGCAGATTGGATTCCCAGTCAGGGCACATACCCAGGGTACAGATTTGATTTGATCCCCTGTTGGGGTGCATATGGGAGGCAAATGATCAATGTTTCTCACATCGATGTTTCTGTTTCTCTATTTCTTCCTCTCTGTCTTAAAAAAAAAAAAAACTTCAATAAAAACATATCCTGGGGTGAGGGTTAAATAAAACGGGGGGCCTCTAAGAAATAGTAAGTGAAAAAATTTGCAGAACAAAGGAAAAATGTGTAACATTTATGTACTTCAAAAAACTCACGAAATATATCTAAATGTATGAAAATATGTATGTACCACATACTCTCTCACACAAAGAAGATCTGGAAGGATATATTACAGCTAGCCAATTAACAATTATTTCAGGAAATGGGAAGAGAATTAAAGAAGTGGATGAGGAAATAAATTATCAATATTGCTTGAATTTTTTACAGTAAGACTGTATTCACAAATATTTGTGTAATTAAAGGCTTTTTTAAAGAGCACAAAGAAGTTTGCATAGTAGATTCCCATTATTGTAAAAAGAAAGGGCATATGCACAAATGGGTGGAAATTTTTTTCTGGAAGGATATACAAGAAACTATTGGCTGTGATTATCTCTGGAGACGAGGCCCAGGGGTTTGGGTTTAAGAAGGGAGTTCAGCCCTAGCTGGTTTGGTTTAGTGGATAGAGTGCTGGCCTGCAGATTGAAGGGTCCCAGGTTCGATTCCAGTAGAGGGCACATGCCCGGGTTGTGGGCTCAATCCCCAGTAGGGGGCGTACAGGAGGCAGCCAATCAATGAATCTCTCTCATCGTTGATGTTTGTACCTTCCTCTCTGAATTTAATAAAAAAATATTTTAAAAAAGGGAGCTTATCTTTCATTGCATACTCTTTTGTACCATTTGAATTTTTTTTAAAAAGCATATTATTTTCATAATAATACAAAAAAATAAAACCAATTTCCTGTATTCATCCACCCAATAAATTCTAAATGTCCAACATATAATCACGGGAAATCCAGTTCTGTTTACATAGTATTTCATTCAAATAATTTTAGATTTATACAGTTAGTGATGTCAACTAAGTAATCCTCAAAATTCATCAGGAGAAAATGCTCTGGATTTTAGAGACTGTACACATACAGTTAAACTTCCTTACCTTTGTTTTGAGGTGCAGTAAATGATCTGCATCTTTAGAGAGTGGAAGGGTATCCCCATGTTTTCCTGGAACAAGAAATTTCCCTGAGGTTTTTCCTCCTCAAAGAAAGGTTATTTGTATATATTTTTTCTTCTAAAAAGTCATTCCTGGATAGAATGGAATCTCTGCCAATGACAAATCAGGAAACTATCTTCATAAGCCTACCATTTTCTGGGGAAAGCAGTGAACATTCTCTTCTCTTTGGGTGCCCTCCATGGCCTATGGCACATCACTAATTTGCTGAAGCTCAACACCACAGCCAGGCATGTAGGTGGGTGAAAGTGGAGTTTGTGGTTCATGTGGCCTCAACTTCATTTGCTCGTTTTGGAAACTTATTCTAGTACAAACATAGTGGAATATAAAACAACAGAACCTAAACATTTCCTTAGAGGTCACACAAAAGGCCACTAGGCTGTCACCCTAGTAAGATCCATGTGACCTCCTGGCAGGGATGTCACTAACCAGTATTAAATCCTGCCATTTTTCAACATCCTATTTTGATCCCAATCAAGCCAGAGCAAACGATTCCACAACCTTCACACCCACTACATCCTGCTACCACCACCCTTTCCACCATATAGAACTGTACACTTTAATCAGATCTAACACTCAGAAGAACTCCTTTGCTCCATCTAGTGGATGGGAAACCATGAGTTCCAATGGGCACAGAAAAATCTACTTCCATTTTTCCATAAGCAGAGTATCAATTGCAATTCTAATTTTTGGTTTCTCTCTTCAGTTTTTTTCCTAGAAAAGTCTTGCTCCCATCTTACCTGTTGCAACTGTAGATCCCAGTCGCCAAAGATCCAAGTGATGAGAAAACTGGAAGAGGAGAAGCTGTCTCTTTTTTGAACAGGAAATGAGACGTCGCTGTATCCAAGAATCGAAAAGTGACAAGTAGGTTGGGTCATCTACTGTCTCAGTACGAGATATAGCAGCAGCATCTTAGCACATTTTTTACTGCTAAAATCCATCTGCCTGATAAATATTCCCTACATAATACCATATTCCAGGCACTGTCCTAGGGTCTAAGAACACACTAGTAAATAAAAGCATACCTACCACTCTCAAGCTCAGTCTAAAGGGCTGACACAGAATTAAACAAGCAATTACACTAAGTGTGCTAAGAACTGTAACATGGCTAAGCACAGTATGTAACAAAAAAAGCACCGAAGTCTTACAGATTTGCTCAGAAGTGTGAGCTATGCTCAGAGTGTTGTAGGACAGGGGAATGGAAAAATGAGGATAGTGGGGGGTTAGGGGATGATACTCACATGGGGAAAAGTGATTTTTCGGAGAGCAGCATCATAATTCTTTACCTCCACTTTCTCCATGAGAGGACGAATGACTAAGTGGGTGTCAGTGCCTGGGCGGGAGGGAGGGAGAAGGGAGAAGACATCAGGATTAGAAAATGTCCTGCATGAAAACAAGCAGAGCTGGGATAGCCAGTTAGCCTGGAGGTCAAATCATCCCCAGTATTGCCGACAACAATCAAGGCTTAACTACAATAAGACTGCGCACAAAGACCACTAGGGGGTGCACCAAGAAAGCATAAAAAATGCAGAGACAAAGAAACAGGACAAAACTGTCAATGGAGAATATTGAGTTCAGAACCACACTTTTAAGGTCTCTTAAGAACTGTCTAGAAGCCGTCAATAAATGTAGTGAGATCCTCAAGAAATCTAATGAGACCCTTGATGTTATGATAAAGAACCAACTAGAAATTAAGCATACACGGACTGAAATAACGAATATTATACAGACTCCCAACAGCAGACCAGAGGAGCGCAAGAATCAAGGCAAAGATTTGAAATGCGAAGAAGCAAAAACCACCCAACCAGAAAAGCAAAATGAAAAAAGAATCCGAAAATACGAAGATAGTGTAAGGAGCCTCTGGGACAGCTTCAAGCGTACCAACACCAGAATTATAGGGGTGCCAGAAGATGAGAGAGAGCAAGATATTGAAAACCTACTTGAAGAAATAATGACAGAAAAATTCCCCCACCTGGTGAAAGAAATAGACTTACAGGTCCAGGAAGCGCAGAGAACCCCAAACAAAAGGAACCCAAAGAGGACCACACCAAGACACATCATAATTAAAATGCCAAGAGCAAAAGACAAAGAGAGAATCTTAAAAGCAGCAAGAGAAAGAAACTCAGTTACCTACAAGGGAATACCCATACGACTGTCAGCTGATTTCTCAACAGAAACTTTGCAGGCCAGAAGGGAATGGCAAGAAATATTCAAAGTGATGAATACCAAGAACCTACAACCAAGATTACTTTATCCAGCAAAGCTATCATTCAGAACTGAAGGTCAGATAAAGAGCTTCACAGATAAGGAAAAGCTAAAGGAGTTCATCACCACCAAACCAGGATTATATGAAATGCTGAAAGGTATCCTTTAAGAAGAGGAAGAAGAAGAAAAAGTAAAGATACAAATTATGAACAACAAACATGCATCTATCAACAAGTGAATCTAAGAATCAAGTGAATAAATAATCTGGTGATCATAATAGAATCAGGGACATAGAAAGGGAATGGACTGACTATTCTTGGGGGGGATAGGGGTGTGGGAGATGCGGGAAGAGACTGGACAAATATCGTGCACCTATGGATGAAGACAGTGGGTGGGGAGTGAGGGCGGAGGGTGGGGTGGGAACTGGGAGGAGGGGAGTTATGGGGGGAAAAAAGAGGAACAAATGTAATAATCTGACAATAAAGATTTAATTAAAAAAAAAAAAGAAAGAAAGAAAACAAGCAGAGCTGGGCAGAGTAAAGCAGCAGCTGGCCGAGAGCAGAACCCACCTCCAGATATCAGTGCTGTCGGGCTGTGGGCCACGGTTCGCACGTCGTGAGTGTGATGCTGGAATGGCTTTGTCCGCACCCACTGCTTCTCGCTGCTGCTGGAAGTCACAGAGACCAGCTGAAAATGGAATACTGTCCCCTCGGCTGTGCCCACCACGAAACTGTCTTCTTGCTGAGAAATTAAATCATCGAGGTACATTTGAGCAAAACAGGGCCCACTTTGAAAAAGATTTCCTGAGGTTGTCTATCTGGGCAGCTTAAGGGAAAATGTATGCCCAGAATTGGAAGGTCAATCACAAGATAGGAGCAAGCTCACTCATATATAATAACACACCCCTACTGGCACAATTAACAACATGTACCTCAACCAGTTATAGAGCTTTCATATATACAAACTAGACCTCATCAGAAATTCAATACAAAAGATAAAACAGCTAATAAATTTAACAAGAAATGTGCTAGGCCTATAAAAGAAAAAAATTTAAGTCCTCCTTAAAGGACATAAAAGATGACCTAAACAAAGAAATCCATACCATATTCTTGAATGAGAATATTTAACATGATAAAAATATTGATGATTGTGATATCAGTTATGCATATATAAAAAGGAAAGTATAACTGACTTAAAGTGAATTTTTAAGTTTTATATATGTAAATTTTTAAGTTTTATATAATCCAATAAAAGTAAATTTTTAAGTTTTATATAATCCAATAAAAATACTGATAGTCTATACCTGGAATGAAAAAAGTTGTTTCTTAAATTCATATAGAATAAACAAAAAAACTTAAAAACCAAACACAAACAAACCAATCCAAGCAAGAATAGTAATGAAAATATATTCTCAAAGATTTGGAAGCAGGGACTCAAACAGAAACATGAACACCAGTGTTCAAAGCAGCATTATTCACAAGAGCCAAAATATGAAAACAACCCAAACGTCCAAAAATAGATAAACTCAATGAGGTGTTTCATTCAGATAAACTCAATGGAGTATTATTTAGCCTTGAGGAGGAATGAAATTCTGATGTTACAACATGGATGAATTTTGAAAACATTATGCTAAGTAAAATAACAAAGACACAAAAGAACAAATATATGATACCACTTATGAGGTACCCAGAATAGGCAAATTCATAGGGACAGAAGGTAGAAAGGAAGTAACCAGGGGCTGGGAGAGGAGAGGAATAAGGAATTATTCTTTAATGGGTGATGAAAAAGTTCTGAAAATGGAGAGGTGATGGATGCACAACACTGTAAATATTCTTAAGATCACTGAATTGTACGCTTAGAAATGGTTAAAAAAAAGACCCAGCCGGTTTGGCTCAGTGGATAGAGCATCAGCCTGCGGACTGAAGGGTCCCAGGTTCAATTCTGGTCAAGGGCACATGCCTGGGCTGTGGGCTTGATCCCCAGGAGGGGGCATGTGGGGAGGCAGCCAATCAATGATTCTCTTTCATCACTGATGTTTCTATCTCTCGCTCCCTGCCTCTCTGAAATCAATTATATATATGAAAATACAAGAATACATTTTCAAAAAATGGCTAAAATGGCAAATTTTGTTATGTAAATTTTATCACAGTAAGAAAGATTTTAAATGTAAATAAAGTGCTAAGAACATAGCCTGGCTGGTGTGGCTTAGTGGTTGAGCATCGACCCTGAACCAGAAGGTCACGGCCCGATTTGGGTCAGGGCACATGAGCCTGAGTTTTGGTCTTGGTCTCCAGTACAGGGGTGTGCAGGAGGCAGCCGACTGATGATTCTCTCTTAGCACTGATGTTTCTATCTCTCTCTCCCTTCTCTAAAATCAGTAAAAATATATTAAGAAAAAAATAGTGATTAGAGTCCAACTTTGAATGTGAAGAAGTTTTAGGAATACCTTAATCACTTTAAGTCAGTTATACTTTCCTTTTTATATATGCATAACTGATATCACAAAAACTTATGGTTAAGTCTCAAGGAGCTCTTCAATAAGGAAAATATAACTTCTTTGTTTAAAAAAGCATCGTGTCATTTTATATTATAATAGTTTATATTATATGCTTATACTATAAAATACACATTTTACTTTACAAAAAAAGCCCTATGGCATAGTTTAATTGGCAATGTTTCTTTTTTCTCGTGATAACAAAAAAATTATGGCATATTTTACAATAACTTATATCTAAGAGTCAATGCAATGTAGTAATATAGGCATATGAGAGAAGATCAAACAGTATAAAATGGTATACAATACAAATTAAGCCTGCCTCCCACTGACCCCCCACAATTTCCCTCTCCAGAAATTATAATTTGAGTTTTAAAAATCTTCTTAGAGATATATATGTATGTAACACACATATACTAGCATAACTGCATATACATAAAATGCTTAATAAATACCTAATATACGATATCTAATATATAAATCTGCCCCTTCTTCTCTTAATACACTATTATGTCCTATATTATACACTATTATGCTGTTCTGTTTTTCCCTCTTAACAATATATTCTGAAAATTGTTCCACAGTAGTCAATATACACCTTCCTTGATCTTTGAAACAGGTGCATATCTGTGTAGGTACAGTTAAAATGCTACTAAAATTAATAATTAAGTCTTAAGTCTAATAATTACAACCATTTTAGATTAAGACTCCATTTTAAAAAGATAATTTCTCCCACTCATTTCAACTTGTACTTTTTTTTTTAGAGATTTTTAAAAATATTTTAAAAATATTTTTATTGATTTCAGAGAGAAAGGGAGAGGGAGAGAGAGAAAAACATCAATGATGAGAATCATTGATCAGCTGCCTCCTGCACGCCCCCTACTGGGAATTGAGCCCACAACCCAGGCATGTGCCCTTGACGGGAATCTATCCGAGAACCGACAGTTCAGTCCTCAGACCGATGTTCTATTCACTGAGCCAAACCAGCTAGGGCTCAACTTATACTTCTACTAGTGGCCCGGTGCACGAAATTCATGCACATTAAAAGGGGATTAATTAGAGGAAATATTTTAATATTGCTATTTGCCCTTTCTCTATAATAGAAGGGTCAGAGATGGAAGAAAATTAGTAAAAAGTATACGAAAATCTTCCTCCTGTCAGAGTCTGGGGCACACCACGGGACCCTGAGTCAAGTCCCTGCCTATCCACATGCGACTCAAAATCATGTGAGACCCAGACCTGGCCGCCGCCCTTCCCCCCCATTGGGCTAGATCCAGACCCGGTCTGTCTCACCATGTCAAGCCCCACTGGGCAGGGGGGGCACAGCCTCAGGTCCCCTGACCTGGCACCGGGGTGGGAGGCGTAGCCTGAGGTCCCCCAGCCCGGGCCAGGGCAGGGGGCGTGCCTTGAGGTCCCCCATCAAACCCCATCGGGAGGCGGGCGCAGTCTCAGGTCCCCTGTCAAACCCCACCAGGAGGGGGGGGCGCGCAGCCTCAGGTCCCCCATCAAGCCCTGCTGGGCAGGAGGCATGACCTGAGGTCCCCTGGCCCGGGGCGAGGGAAGCAGCCTGGCACCAGTGTGGGAGATGCGGCCTGAGGTCCCCTGTCAAGCACTGCTGGGCAGGGAGCATGGCCTGATGTCCCCTGTCAAGCCCCACGGGGGCGGGGAGGGCACAGCCTCGGGTCCCTGCTGATTGCTCATTAAGGCTCATTATGGGAACTTGGCCTCCGCTGTGGGTGCTGCTATCTTTGTGGTGGAGTGACAGTCAATTTGCATATTCCCTCTTTATTATATAGGATTATAGTTTATAGGTGACATCTACATGTTTTACAGGGCTTTAACACATTGTATGCGGGAAACGTATTTATACGTTCTACCAGTGTAGTAGAGCGCGGGACACGTATTAATACATTTTTTATAGACTAGCGGTAGAATGCGAGTAATGTATAAATACGTAAACTAAAGTTATCGTAATTTTACTGAACGTTGCCATTTGTGCAAAAAATTAGCAAAAATGGCCCGCGCCACCTGTTAGCGCGCGATAAAAACTACCCGCAAACGATGTGTTAATACACACAAAATTGTTCTCATGTAAAACCTGTGAAATGGGACAGAAACATTTTATAGGCAAGGAAAGCAAACATGTGTGATCTCTACACTAGAAACTGGATTTTCACCCTTAAGATAGCAATTCTCAAATTAAGAAGGCAAAAAAATAAAGGACATAGTAACAAACCTCAAAGCTACTTCTATACCTCACTGCTAACATACCCAAACATTTCTGATTAAGCACTCTGGTTACCAAAAGGAAAAAGGCACACCTGTTCAATACAAATCTGCTTAAGTCTTATTCAAATAGAAGACAATGAACATTGTCAAAAATCACTATAAAATTATCTTCTAATTTCCCAAGGTAGGAAGCAGGAGAACAGTTGTACAGAGGGGAAACACTGCTTCTCAAGATTCTTTGAGCACACTGTGCCCTATCTTCAATCAGACCTGATTAACTAGGGGTGGGGAGTGCCTGAAGAAAACCTCTCTGCTAACCAATCCTTCAGAGAATATTCTCCAGCTGATTGCTAAGAGAATAAGAGAGTTCAGGGAAATTATGTGGCTTTTCAGATGGATTTTCCTGAAATCATCTTCCTCCAGGGCCAGGGAACATTGTTTGTGGTGCAACACTGCCAGGGCCTTCTCTATCATCCCCCAGACTGTACAGGAACTGCTCAACACAGAAGCCATACTCACATCAGAGACAGCAATGGACTGCACGTCAGCGTTTGCAACGAGATGGGTCTTCACAAGCGTCCCAGTAGCTGAGTCCCAGAACTGCACCTTCCCAGCAGAGTCCACACTGATGACAGTGCCATCGGACAAGAAGGCCACACCCCATATGATACACTTCCGCTTAGACACGCCCATATACTGCCTATCCACGAGCATCTTATGAATAGCGCTCCCTGAAAAATAAGGAAAGTCCACATTTGAATGATGTGGTAAACATGTTAGGTTAGCTACCCGAGCACAGACCACATCCAATATATACTACTTACGGTGAACTCAGTCTCTCAACACCAGAACGGTTGCCTAAAGATGAGAGAGGGGGGTGGTGACAGGGAAGGGACAGAAATTTGCTGGAGGGTTGGGGGTGAAATGGAAAAGAAACTTCACTTAAAACTAGCCAATTGCATACAAACCAATACACTTTGCTCTTTTCCAAAACCCCCTGGGAAAGAGACAGTGACAATTTATGAGAATGTGTAGAGTGGTAACTGGCTTAGCAGAGCCCTGAAACTAAGTACCAAGTCAGCAGTGGGGAAAGCCAAGAAGTCACCTGACTTCACCCTGGGATCCTCAGAAAAGTCAGGAGCTGGTGACCCCAGATACTCTAGAAACCGAGGAAGAAAGTGGGACTAAAAGGAGGAATGGAATAAAAGTAAGTTTAAGAAACTTGTAGATCCCTCAGATTCCTTCCCCTAAGTAAAAATCCAGGCAATGCCATAAAACCCCACCTCAACAAAAGACTAGAGACCTATTCTCTGAAGAGGGACATAGGCACAACTGAGGGTGGGAATACTATATGGAATATAAAACCCTAATATGCAAACAGACCAAATGGCAGAACCACCAAATAACCGGTCGCTATGACATGCGCTGACCACCAGGGGGCACACACGGAACATGGCGGGCATCAGCAGCAGCGGGAGAGTGGAGCAGGTGAGCGGGGGCACTAGACCAAGGCGGGGCACGGTCACTGACATCGGGGTGGGCCTCTGGTGGTTACTGAAAATTCTTTGCTCCTGTGAGCCACGGTCCCGTCCAGCACTTGCACCTGCTGCCAGCACCGGAGCCACTGCTCACACCCGCTGGCCCCAATCGCCCCTGAGGGCTTCTCCACCTCCTCCTGCTCCCGAGGTGTGATCGGGACAGCAGCCGCCGCTTACACCTGCTGATGGCGCTGGCCCCAATAGCTCTGCACCGTCAGCAGGTGCTAGCAGAGCCGGTGCCGTCAGCACATGGGAGCGGCAGCAGCAGGAGCGGGGCTGCCAGCAGACTGGGTACCAGGGGCCGTGGCGGGGGCGCGGAGGATGGGCTGAGACCCGCTCCTGTGCCCACTGTAGCCTCGTGGCCCACAGTTCAATGTGCACAAATTTGTGCACTGGCCCCTAGTCTATATATCTCTATATATAAAAGGCTAAGCAACTGGCCGATTGGCTGGCTGACTGGCCGGTAGGTATGACGTGCACTGACCACCAGGGGGCAGACGCTCAACGCAGGAGCTGCTGAGCGACAGCAACTTTGTAGAGTGCCCTCTTGCACTCCGGGACCCCTTGGGGCATGTCAGACTGCCAGTTTCCGCACGATTCCTGCAGGCCAGGCCGAGGAACCCCACCTGCTGGAGGGACCCCGCTCATTCCGCAGATGCCCTTCGAGCCTTGGCACCGCCCCAGGTGTGGCCGGCTGGGGAGGGACCGCGGGAAGTTGGCTCCAGCAAATACACACACACACACACACACACACACTGCATCCCTCCCTGGCCAGTGTGGCTGAAATGGTAGAGTGTTGTCCCATGCTCTGAGAGGTCACTGGTTGATTCTGTCAGGGCACATGCCTCGGTTTTGGGTTCAGTCCCTGTAGGGGGTGTGCCGGAGGCTGTTGACTGGTGTTTTCTCTCTCTCTCCCCTTCTCCCTTCCTTTTCTCTAAAATAAATAAAATACTGCATCCCATAGAAAAACCAAGATTCCTCCCAAAGCAGGATTAGTAATCCAAGAAAGGACTGAAATTCATGGTGAACATCCCAGAAGGTTAAGGAGGTTAGGGCTAAACATCGTTGAAAGCATTACAAGTACTCCAGTTTGTCAGAAATGTGAATCTGACAAACAAGACCCACATCCCAAATGAATTGAGAAAAACAGTCACCTGATTTGACATCAAACACACTAATGCAATCTATGGAGCCAGCTGCAATGTGGGTACCAGAGGGATGCCAGCTGAGACTCAGGATGCGACCTTGGGAGTTGGAACAATAAAAAAAGAAAGTGACAAACACATAAATATACAGCAAAAGGTAACTGAGTTCTCCCTCCACAATTATCTACGGGGCTAGTGTTCTCTTAGTCTTAGCTCCCACTACATACTGCACTCTTGTGAAGAAATGGTTTATAACAGATGAGGAACAACTTTGTCCTGGGATCCATAATGAAGTATTTGATACTAACTTTAATAATGTATAAATGGTTGATGGGAGTGTAAAGAAGCACAACCTTTTGAGGGTGATCTGGTAGTAACCTAACAAAATGTAAATGTGCATGTTTGGCCCAGTAATTGCACGGGAAATAAATCAAAGAGAAATACTTGCATGAATGCCCCAAAACATGTATATAAAAATATTCACTGCACCACTGGTCATACTAGTAAAAAAATAATTACAATCGATCAGTTGGAGTTTGACTAAATACATTATGGAACATAAAATGCAATGCCATGCAGACTGGCAAGACTGACAGATGCCTGTGATGTAACAAGTGAAAACAAAGCTGAAAACAGGTTCAGGCACTCCTGTGTATTTGTTTATATGAATATTTTAAAAAGTCTACAAGATTAATCTCAAAATGTCTATATAGGGGCATGAGATACTTATTTTCTCTTTCATACTTGGCTAAACATATGAAATTTTTAAAAAGCACTGGATCACCTTTGTAATTTAAAAAGAACACTCCAGCCCTAAACAGTTTGGCCCAGTGGATAGAGCGTCAGCCTGCGGACTCAAGGGTCCCAGGTTCGATTCCGGTCCAGGGCATGTACCTTGGTTGCGGGCACATCCCCAGTACGGGGTGTGCAAGAGGCAGCTGATCAATGTTTCTCTCTCATTGATGTTTCTAACTCTCTATTCCTCTCCCTTCCTCTCTGTAAAAAAATCAATAAAATATATTTTTTTTAAAATAAATAAATAAATAAAATAAAAAGAACACCCCAAAGGTATTAAAAACAACCAAATATGAATCTGAGTAGCAGAGAATAAATATTACTAATGGATACAAAGAATACATAGGACAGTGACTATTTGCTATAAGCGGAGTAAGCAAACCATGTCCTTAAGGCCAAATGAGGCCCGCCACCTTTTTTGAAAGTAAAGTTTAACGGAGCATGGCCATGCCCATTTGTTTAAGTATTATCTATGGCTATTTTTGTGCCACAACAGAGTTGGCAGAGATGGTTTGACCTGTAAAGCCTAAAATATTTACTACTTTGTATCCTTACAAAAACAGTTTGCCAACCTCTACTTTACAGGTCAGGATCAATTGGTCCAGGTAAAGCTCAAACATGGGCAATTATTTATAGAACTCCCCCGTTCAATTTGAATGCACAGCAGGATTATGAACCACAGCTCTGCCCTAGCCTGTTTGGTTCAGAGGGTAGAGCGTTGGCCTTCAGACTGAAGGGTCCCAGCTTCAATTCCAGTCAAGGGTACGTATCTCAGAAAGAAAAAAGGATACGTACCTCAGTTGCAAGCTTGATCCCTGGCCCTGGTCGGGGCACATGTAGGAGGCAACCAATCGATGTGTCTCTCTCACATCGATGTTTCTCTCTGTCTTTGCCCCTCCCTTCCACTCTCTCTAAAAAAAAATCAATGGAAAAATACCTCGGGTGAGGATTAATAGTAATAAAAAAGAACCACAGCTCCTAAAGATGAAATTCTGGTTTCCGGACTTTTATGCACACTTGTTGAAACATCACAAATTTAAGTGAGAATTAACAAATCAACTTATAGAGAAACACTAGCTTTTCTATTTTATATTTCTGGTTTTCTATATTTTCACTTAACCAAGCAATCACAACTATGCTATACAATGGAGAAAGCCTGAGCTGGAGATGGCTTCTAGTACATACCCTGTACTCAGACAGAGTTAGTATATCCTATATAATAAAAGTCTAATATGCTAAGTGTCCGGTTGCCTGGTTGTCTGTTCAATAATCAAAGCGTAATCTGCTAAGGATATGCTAAGGCCGCTCAACCGCTCCCTATGACATGCACTGACCACCAGGTGGCAGATACTCAATGCAGGAGCTGCCCCCTGGTGGTCAGTGTGCTCCCACAGGGGGAGCTCTGCTCAGCCAGAAGCTGGGCTCACGGCTGGCGAGCGCAGCGATGGTGGTGGGAGCCTCTGCAGGAGTGCTAAGGATGTCTAACAGCTGGACATCCCCTGAGGGCTCCTGAACTATGAGAGGGCGCAGGCTGGGCCGAGGGGACCCCGCTCCCCCCAACTGCATGAATTCCGTGCACCAGGCCTCTAGTCTATAATAATAAAAGCGTAATATGCTAATTAGACTGGACATACTTCCAGACGACCTTCTGGATGAAGCTGGGGCTGGTAGGGAAGCCCAGGTCCCAAGTGCCTGCCGGCAGCCAGAGGGAAGCTGGTGCTGGCCGCTGGGGGAAGGAAGGCCTACTCTTGCACGAATTTCGTGCATCGGTCCTCTAGTAGTTAAAATATTACCTGGACCCATGGGGAAATATCCCATCTCCAGTGGCACAGAAACATAACTACTTGCTAAGGCTATTCACAGCCTCACCAGAAATGACCCTTACTTTTCTGCCGATCAAAATTTCTTTCAAACTGGATTTTGTCTGGGTTGATTTGAAATAGTTTCAGAGATCCATCTTCACAACCAACCTATTAGGGGAGAGGAGGTAGAAAATAGAGAAGATAAACATTTTACATTTTTTTTTTAAATATATTTTATTGATTTTTTACAGAGAGGAAGGGAGAGAGATAGAGAGTTAGAAACATCGATGAGAGAGAAACATCGATCAGCTGCCTCCTGCACATCTCCTACTGGGGATGTGCCCGCAACCCAGGTACATGCCCTTGACCGGAATCGAACCTGGGACCTTTCAGTCCGCAGACCGACGCTCTATCCACTGAGCCAAATCGGTTCCGGCAACATTTTACATTTTTAACTAAATGTATTTATTTACAAACTAGGGGCCTGGTACACGAAATTCGTGCACTGGGTGTGGGGGCGGGGGGGGGGGAGTGTCCCTCAGCCCAGCCTGCCCCCTCTCACATACTGGGAGCCCTCAGGCGTTGACCCCCATCACCCTCCAATCGCAGGATCGGCCCCTTGCCCAGGCCTGACGCCTCTGACAGAGGCATCAGGCCTGGGCAGGGGACCCTCATTTCCCCCCATCACTGGTTCTGGCCCCAGCCCAGGCCTGATGCCTCTGGCCCAGGCATCAGGCCTGGGCAGGGGACCCCCAGACCCCTCCGATTGCTGGCTCTGCCCCTTGCCCAGGCCTGATGCCTCGGCCAGAGGCGTAGACCCCCATCACCCTCCGATCGCCTGATCGGCCCCTTGCCCAGGCCTGACGCCTCCGCCAGAGGTGTCAGGCTTGGACAGGGGACCCCCATCTCCCCGATCACTGGCTCTGGCCCCCGCCCAGGCCTGAGGCCTCTGGCCCAGGAATCATGCCTAGGCAGGGGATCGCCATCTTCCTCTGATCGCTTGCTCCACCCCCCGCCCAAGCCTGACGCCTCTGACCCAGGCTTCAGGCCTGGGCAAGGGGACCATCATATCCCCCCAATCCCCGGCTCCGCCCCCCACCCAGGCCTGATGCCTCGGCCAGAGGAGTTGACCCTCATCACCCTCCGATCACCAATCACCGGATCGGCCCCTTGACCAGGCCTGAGGCCTCCGGCAGAGGTGTCAGACCTGGGCAGGGGACCCCCAGCTCCCCGCGGTTGCAGGCTCCGCCCCTGCCCAGGCCTAACGCCTCTGGCCTAGGCGTCCGGCCTGGGCAGCGGGGACCTGCAGTGGCAGCGGGGGGCGCCGTGATTGCGCGGGCTCCGCCCCTGCCCCTGCAGGATTCCTCTGGCTGAGGCGTCCGGCCCGGGCAGCGGGGACCCGCAGCTGCAGCGCCCCGCGATCGTGGGCTTCGCTTTAGGCCCAGGCAAGGGACCCCTAGCTCCCGGGACTGCCAGCTTCGACCATGCCCAGCTCCCATCGCTGGCTCCACCCCTACTTCCTGCTATCACTGGCCAGGGCGGCAAAGGCGCCTGATTCTCCGATCATGACTGGGGGGCAGGGCAAAGGCGGCCCTGGGGCCGCCTTTGCCCTGCCCCCCACCTCTTAGCTCCCCCCTGGGTTTCCGATCAGTCAGTGGCAGGGGGCTTCTTCCTGCTTTCCCTTTCGCCTCCCTGCATTGTGCCTACATATGCAAATTAACCGCCATCTTGTTGGCAGTTAACTGCCAATCTTAGTTGGCAGTTAATTTGCATATAGCCCTGATTAGCCAATGAAAAGGGTAGCGTCGTACACCAATTACCATTTTTCTCTTTTATTAGTGTAGATATATACATTTCTTCCCTAAAGCAATCACTTGCTCTGAAAAATAGTTGGTGAGAGAAAAAAGTACTGGCACCAAGAAACTGATTGCATATTCTTGGTAGCCTTTATGTCCTGACAAGAAAGCCGGACAATAGAATAGAAGTAGGATTTCACAGGGCATCTCTGCTAGAGACCCATGGACTAAATGAAAGACCTAGTAACTATATAATCTAAACAGAGACTTATGAAGATATTGTACAAATTAGTGCAAACCAGAAGAGAACAGCGGTCTTATCACAAAAGGTTCAACCTCTGAAAGCACCCATTCTAATGTTAATGATCGGGGGAGCAGTCTTCTCAGTCTGTGCTCAAACAATTTTCAGAAACACTGTGGTGAAACACAGTTGCACAAGTTAACTGGTGGAAGGACCTAGGAATTTTAAATATGCATTAGTGCACTGTGACTCTACAAAAGGATTTAATATGCTATATTCTGAAACGAAATTCATTGTAAAACACAACAAAACAAGTTTCTACAGCTCCCAATTCCAAAGAACAAAGTTTGGGAAACCAAACTAACCCTCTCATTTCATAAATGAATAAACGAGGTCAAAAGTAAAAACAGAAAGGATGCAAAAGGACAAGGGATTGTTAACCCCCAATGGCAACTCCAATCTTATACTGGGGTTGCTGAAATCTAACTCATATCGGAATTGCTATATAGCGTAACATAACTTTAATCTACCTTCCTATGAACACAGGGAAGAAGTTTTAAGTGGGCACAAGAGGAATCTTGGTTTAAATTACCAATAGTTGCGTACTTACCAAAAGTTGAGAGCCACTGGGGCTGGCAGCCATGCTCCAAATGGGTCCTCCGAAGGCATCCATAGAATACTTGATGTTTAAGGCCTGCAAATCATACTCGATAATCTCTCCGTTGAGTCCAGCACTAAAGAGTCGCTGTCCTTTTGCCCAACACAAAGCTTCCGTAGCTCGAGACTCATGACCTGGGAAAAACTACAGAAACACCATAACTTCAACAACCCATCATGAATTCACCACCTACCAGCACTGAGTGGTCACAGGCAACATGGTGAAAAATAAGCCCTTGCTGGTTTGGCTCAGTGGATAGAGCGTCAGCCTGCGGACTGAAGGGTCCCAGGTTCGATTCTGGTCAAGGGCACATGCCTGGGTTCGGGCTTGATCCCCAATGGGGGATGTGCAGGAGGCAGCCGATGAATGATTCTCTCTCATCATTGATGTTTCTATCTCTCTCTCCCCTCTCCCTTTCTCTCTGAAATTAATAAACATATATTTTTAAAAAAAAAAGAAAAAGCCCTGACCGGTTTGGCTTAGTGGGTAGAGTGTAAAAACAATCAATAAAAAGAAAATACTTCCCTAGCCCTAGCTAGGTAACTCAGTTAGAGCATTGTCCTGATACACCAAGGTTGTGAGTTCAATCCCAGGTCAGGATACACAAGAAACAACCAGCCCTGCCAGTGTGGCTCAGTGATTGAGCATTGATCCAGAGGTCGATTTGTAAGCTCAATCCCCGGTAAGGGGCATGCAGGAGGCAGCCAATCAATGTTTCACTTTCACATTGATGTTTCTCTCTCTCTAGCCCTCTATCTCCCTCTCTCTCTATCAATAAAAACATATATTTTTATAAAAAGCAACCAATCTCTATATTTAAAAGACTAATACGCAAAGTGTCCCCTTGGGAGTTCGACTGGGAGACCAGGAGTTCGATTGCTCACTATGATGTGCGCTGACCATGAGAGGGTGGTGTGGAATGAAGGAAGGCCCCAGCCGGCAGGCAGAAGGCCCCGATCAGCCCTGATCGCCAGCCAGGCCTAGGGACCCTACCCAGGCATGAATTTCATGCACCGGGCCTTTAGTGAATGCATAAATAAGTGGGACAACAAATTGATATTTCCCTCTTCCTCTCTCTCAAATCAATGAATAAAAATTTAAAAAAATAAAATAAAATACTTCCCTAGAAATAACAACTGTGGGATTTTGTGCTATCAGAAGATCATGTCTATTGACATTTTCATTTTTTTCCAGGATTGTGTTTTAGTTATTTCTACAGTTGGCTTTCTTTTAGTAGAACTTGTTCTGCAAAACCTTTTCAGTAGGAACCGGTCCAGGGCTCTCAGCGCTATCAAAACTTTATCAACCCCCTGGAGTCCTAGCAGTGTGAGGAGGTGTGATCGGCCCCGGACCAAGCAAAGCCTGCGTGCTGCTACATCCCTACGTCCCGCTGGGATGTCCGACCACCACTGTCATTATGCCAAAGAGAAAGGCGGAAGGGGATGCTAAAGGAGATAAAGCCAAGGTAAAGGAGGAACCACAGAGAAGATCTGCCAGGTTATCAGCTAAACCTGCTCCTCCAAAGCCAGAGCCCAAGGCTAAAAAGGCCCCTGCAAAGGGAGAGAAGGCACTGAAAGGGAAAAGGGAAAGCTGATGTTGACAAAGATGGGAATAACCCTGCAGAAAATGGAGATGCCAGGATAGGCACAGAAAGCTGAAAGTGCTGGAGATGCCAAGTGAAGTGTGTGCATTTTTTAAAAAATATATTTTGTTGATTTTTCACAGAGAGGAAGGGAGAGGGATAGAAAGTTAGAAACATCGATGAGAGAGAAACATCGATCAGCTGCCTCCTGCACATCTCCTACTAGGGATGTGCCCGCAACCAAGGTACATGGCCCTGGCCGGAATTGAACCCGGGACCCTTCAGTCCGCAGGCCGACTCTCTATCCAATGAGTCAAACCGGTTAGGGCGAAGTGTATGCATTTTTGATAACTGTGTATTCAGGTGACTGTACAGTTTGAAATACTATTTTTTATCAAGTTTTATAAAAATGCAGAATTTTGTTTTACTTTTTTTTTTAAAGCTATATAAGCTATGCACACAAAACACTTTATTGTTATTTTGGGGGGGAAGGACATATAGTACTAATAGAACGTCTCCAAAGTTGGACTGACATGGAGGGGAATACCTTTCCCTTCTGGTTTTGAGAAACTTCCTCTTGGTTCCTGGGAGGAGGGATCTCTTGCTGTGGACACACATTAGCCATCGTGGCACGAACACCTTGTTGTGTGGGAAAACTAAAATTTGTTTTTATGTCCTTTTCTCCCTCTCCACTTTAAACATAGACTTTGGCTCTCTTAAGCCCAAAGACCTATGGGGACCTGACCCAAACAAACTGATTTCCAGTATGCTGGGCAATCTGGACTTTCCAGTGTCACCACTGAAATGGAGTCCCTCAAAAGAGCAGCGGTTTCTTTTTAGATTGTGGATCTACAGATTGACATTCTCTGCCATTTTCATTTCATTTCCTGAAAGTCAGGGTCGGCTTGTGAAAAGTTGTTAAACAACATGCTTAATGTGAAATGTCAACCCTCACTCTGAACTTTTCCTGTTCAGAGCATCAGATGAAGACTTCACTGGGTTTTATAGTGGCTTTCTGATTTGGGTAGTTCACTGAAGAAGGGAGTTTGAAAGTTGTTGTATACTGTTAAGGACTGTGTGCCCATGTCCTGCCTGAAATACCATGATTGTTTATGAAAAGTATCTTTAATAAAGTTGGATACAGTTTGGCTTGTGGAAAAAAAAAACAAAAACACCTTTTCAGTAGAATAAAATTTGCATCCAATTGTATTTGAAGTATCTAATTTTAAAAAAATCAATGCAACTATCTTGATTGGGTGATGGTTTCAAAGCGTGTGTGTGTATGTCAAAAGTTATTAATTTACATACTTTAAATACATGCTACTTATTGTGTCCATTTTACCTGTACAAAGCTGTTTAAAAAATAAAAGATAAACTAATGCAGTTCACTCCAGCCGTTCATTCAAGTCTCAGATTTCTTAGTGCTGTCTTAGCATTCAAAAAGTTTCATCTCTATTAAGACATTTTATTCTTTTATTTGCTTGACACAAAAGAGACTGGGTAAGTATACTTTTTCCTATCTGAATTTGAAAGGGCCAAAGTACTTGTGGGTGAAGTGGCTTACCCAAAGTGTCAGTCAATGACATGAAGAGAATGTTGGTCTCCCTATCCCTAATTCCTATTCTTTTCACTCTGAGAGAAACAATTTTTTCTTGTTCTGAGCGTAACTAACAGAGCTAAGCAACCTTAAATAGTAGGGAAAGAAAGCAGTAGAATAGATTGCATTACTTAATTGCTGAAAAAACAGATGAGAGAATAAGAGACACTGAGTAACAAATGGTTGACGTAATTCATTCAATAAGAATTAATTCAGCAGTGGCTTTGTCCTAGAGACTTGCTAAATGCTGGAAATATAGTCATGAACATCACTGACATGGCCTCTGGTTTCATAAAATTTGAAGTTCAGTGGCGAAAACATTAAACAAACATACAAATTATAATATAATCACAGCTGTCATAAATGACAAGAAAAATACAGGATGCAACAAGCATGTAGCACAGCATGTTTGTTCACACTAAGACCCAGTTGTGGTCACCAGCAATTTTTTAACTCCTATTAGTTTCTCAGGGATCAGCTCAATGTCATTCTTTTCCAAGATTCCTAAACCCACCTCATCAGAGTAATTATCTCTCTACTAAGATTCTATGCCTGTACGTAGTTTTATATAAAATTTAACTGGACTTTGAACTCCCTGAGGGCATCTGACATTTGTTTTAATGCCTAATATTTGCCACTCATTCATTTAGAAACTTCTACAGAGTGCCTACATTCCAAGTACTAGGCTGCTGGGCACTAAATTCATTCATTTACCTATCTGTCCACTTATATCATGATGCCCAGGGTATGTAAGACACTCAATAAATGTGAATGGAATGATATGTTGCACCGGAAATCAGTAATCAGTGCCTTTGGGAAAAAATGCTGCCACCACATCCCTCTACATCCAACTGGAATTTTACCTAGTTTACAATCTCCTTTACTCCCAAATATAGGATGTAAGTCTACATTCTGATGGGCCAACTTAGGAATCTACTTCCTGCTATCACCTCACCAAAGTTTCTGATATTAAAATGTTTCATGATTTTTCCTGAAATTGGTATTTGACACCCCCAGCAGGAAATGCCACCTTACCAAAGCTGCAACAGTGTGGAGACTGATATAAAGCAATGGTCTCGACAATTTTCCTTCTTGTGCCCAAAAGAACGAGCAAACCTCAGTTTCCAAATGACAGTGAGCTGCCACAATTCCTAGGCAGGCTCTTTCTCACCAACATAACACATCAAAACGCGGAGCTTCTCTCATCAGTCAGACAAGAAATCGCATGCTACAGAAGGTACACAGTTCAAAACAACTCCAGAGAGCTTTCAGAGTCACTTTCTTTTGATCTCTGGCTACAAAAGACATACAAGGTTTTGTAGAACTGAACTTAAGAAGAAAATTATCAGAAACACCAAATCAGGCTTCCAAATGACTTACTTTCTCCTGAAAGTAGTTTGCTGACAAGTTATATATTTCCACAGTGCCATCTGTTCTTGAAACAGCCAATCTGTTTGACTGGTTATTGTAAGCCACACAGCGGATCCCTGATGGAACATAATTAAAGAAACGAACTCGATGGACTTTAAATTCACCCATTCCTAAGGGAGGGGAGGAAAAAAAAAAAAAGAGTCATTTTTGTAAAATGTTAACTGCAGTATTGTTCCTTATTATCACTGCTCTGGCTGGAAGACTCCAACTATCTCTCACTGAAGTTCATGTCTACGGATCTAACTAGTGATATTTTCATGCCCCACACAAGAACCTATCAAACAATCTCCAGACGCTCAAGATTCTTTTGCAAAAATGTTAAAACATCAACATACAGAGCATCACCCAGACGTCTAACAATCCTGACAACTGCCTGAAGGAAGTAGTATGGAAAAGAGGGGTGAGAATCTAAGATGTGATCTCAGGGCAAAAGACTGAACACAGTGTCATTCTGTAAAGGGAGCGTCCGAGGGAGACGCTGGAGCGGACCAGCTGAATTCCAGGAAGAAAGAACTGAGGTCCTTCTTCCCATCTGGGGCGTGAGGCTTCTCCGAGGGCAATGACACTGGCGGATGCTGGGAACGGAGAGAGTAAGCACCGCGACCCTCCGCAGAGGCAAGAAACGCTGACAGCCCAAGCCGGCCTCTCAGAGTCAGGTCTGCGGAACTCCCGCATCGAAAGCACCTTGAAGAAACGGTTTTCAGAAATGCAAGAGTCCAGGTCGTACTCCATACAGCTCCAGAATTCCAATTTCTGGGGGAGGGGGGCAGACGCTAGGAATCTGCATCTTAGCGAGCACTTCTTCCTAGCTCCACCGCGGGCGAAGGCTGCAGGTCACAGACTTCAAGGGGGGACTGACGGGGCGGGCGGAGCCCAGAGCTCTCGATCGGGGAAGCGACCGGACTCGGTCTGGCATCTGTCAACTACCACTCCAACTCCCCGCCCCCAACCCCGCCAACGTACGCACTCGGAAAGGGCAGGGGCCGGGCCTGGCTGCCCCCTTACTCGTCTCCCTTCAAGGTTAGGAACCCGAGAACAGAAAACCGGTGTTGGGCCCGGCCCGGCTAAGAAGGAGTCTGAGCGCGCACGAGGTCTCCACCGCCCCTTTCATCTCCGGGGACCTACAGAGTAGCCCCCACCCGCCCTCGACACCAGGGAGCCGGGGGGCTCCACGCGGCTTCGACCGGGGGCCGGCCGCACCCCCGGGAACTGCCCTCCCTCGCTGCCGCTTCCCACATCTCTTCCCCAACTCACCCGCCGACGGGCGCTCGCTCTCTCCGCCCCGGCCCCACGTGCGCGCACTCGCGTGCCCTGCCCCGGAAGTGCTCGCGGCGCAAGGCCGGAAGTGCGCAGGCAGTGCTCGCGGCGGCGGCGACGGCGGCGGGAGGTTCGTTTGTCGCCCGTTGGCCGCGCGGCGCCGCGCTCGGCGGCCGCCATTGCAGGTCAGGCCGCGGGCAGGGGGGTGCGGGAGGCCGCGGGGAGCGAGGGCCGAGCCGGGGATGGGGGCGAGGGGGCGAGGGGACGGGAAGCTAGGAAGCAGGGGCCGGGCGGGGCGCGCAGCTCGGAGAGAAGAATGGCGAGCGGTGGGGCGGGGAGCGGCGGGCGGGGGAGGGGAGATCGGGAAGGGAGCGGGGAGGGCCCCGCAGAAGTGGGGACGGAGCTGGGGGGCAGGGGGGTAGGGGGGGGTCCGGGAATAGGAAGGCCGGGAACTGGGGGGTGGGGGCGGAGCGGCGTGGAGACGGAAGGCGGAGGGAAGGAAGGGAGCGAGCGGGGCGGAGCGCAGCGGAGAAGGGCGGAAAGGGTGGCCGAGCGCGGGCGGAGGACGGAGAAGGGGGCGGCGCGGGCCGGATTCTCGAGGTACGTGCGAAAGGGGCCCTTCCCGGTGTGTGTGTGGGGGGCCTTCCCGATGGGCGGGGGGCAGAGCGGGAGGCTTGCGGGAGCGGGTAGAGCTGGAGCCCCAGGAGTAGCGGGAATATCGGAAAGGGGATGGGGGGGGGCGGGTTGTAGGGCCGTGAGGTTTGTTCGCAGGGACATGTTAAATCGGCGGGGAGGCTGCTGGGGGAGGTGATTTTGGGGAGGGTGGTTGAAGGAAGAAACAGTCTGGAAAGTGATCCAGGTTCCTTTGTGGGCGGAGAGACGGGGGGGAAGAGTGGGGTGAGGTCCTGGAGGAATGAACGCAGTGTTTTAGAATTCAGGGGGAACAGGGATCGATTTAACGGGCGGTGGAAGGAGACGTTTAAGAGGAATCTTTGGAGGAGGGTAAACGGTTTGGAAGGTCACTCGCGGGGGGGGGGGGGGTCAGGTAGCAAAGAATCGATTACCTGGGAGGTTGGAGAAAGGGTTAAACAGCCTGGTGAGAGGTCCCGGCAAAAGGGGGGCGGAGGCTGGTGAGGAGAGGGGAAGCGGATGGAGTAGTGTAGTCCCAGAAAGGGGGCGGGACTAGGAGTAGGAAGTGTTTGTGGCCCAAATTGAAGGGATGGGAAGGGGATGGGGAGAGGCTGGAGAAGACGGGAGCCGGTGGGAGGAGAGCCCACGGTAGAGGGGAGACCGCAAGCAGGGCTAGAAAAGAAGGGAGGGGGCCGCAGAGTAGCAGAAGATGGAGAAAACTGGATTAACTCAGATGGACTGAAGTCATCTTTTCCACTCATTACCTACAAATACCAGTAATTGATTCCCTCCATCCTGGGAATCCTAAAATGTGATGGGAAAGTACCACGTCTGTACATAGACCCCACACACGTTTTTGAACACAGTCTTCACTAATGAAAAGTCTGGAAGCATTCAGTTCCACTTACACCCCATAACATACCTTTTTGGAAGGGAACAAGCTCATTTAGAAGCAGGATTTTAGTCCTTGATGGTATAAGGCTTTCCACAGACAAGATCCCCTTTAGACCATCCCCTTCAGTCGCAAAACCACAATGACACGGCTAATAAAAATCTGTATTCATTTGTATATCAAACTACTGAATTGTTCATTTGGTGGAAAGGCATACAGAAAAATAGTCAACATATTTAGAGGGGGGAAAAACCTTCCAGAACTTAATCCCTGAAGCAGTTTGGTGAACCCTGACTACCACGTTTGAATTGTCCTCCCATTATGTAAAACTGATTTTATTCTGATGACCTGATGCTGCTGTAGAATGTTTTACTCCACTATAAACATTGGTGTAATATACAGTGTAATAAGACATTCTATACTAAGAAAAAGCCATGTTCCTCCAGGTAATCAGTAGCTTGATGCTATGGCTTACCTTGTCTTAGGCACAGTGCTGAGGATTTTACATTCATAACCTCATTTAACTCATAACTCTGCAATAGGTTCTTTTTTATGCCTAATTTATTGGTGGGGGACTGAAATGAGGTTAAATTACTCCCATCACGCACAGGATAAGTGTCATAATCATAGAATCCAGATCTGATGACTTTTCTCCCTGTATCCCCCAACACAAAGGATAGTCTCTGGGACGAAATAAGAGCACAATAAATGCTGTTGGCCTAGCAGAAGTTAAAGCTTTCTTTAAAAGCTTAAAATACAAGAGTTAAAGGTTCTAATGAAAACAATTTATAAAACATTATTTCGCTCTAGGAAAACAATAATTTGCAGTTAAACCATTGAGTCAAGGCCCCTTTCAGTAAAAGCTGTATGTTCTGTTTAATTAGATACATCCCATACTTTATTCTGCCACATTTTATTTTGGGGGCAGTTATCATTAATGAAAATCATTGCTCTTGCTGTTCTCTGTAAGACATTAGTAATCTTTTAACAGTTCAGAAGATAAATTTTGTCAGAAATAAAAATGAGTTTTGATGTCAAAGAATGTCCTCTATAGTCAATTAGATATGATAATAAGCAGTCTTACTGTTCCTTTTTAACTGCCTGCCCCACAGATGTATTAGCTACTTTGGTGGCAAGTTGTAAGATCTTCATAGGTTACTTGCAATTTTGTAAGTGATACTATGAAAAGGCTAGTATTATAAAGCAATCAGTTCTACAGACATGCTGTATACCTGTCTACTTTGAACTAAGGGCAACTGTTGCAAGTAAAGAAATAATAGGTTCAGGTGATAGGATATTTTAAGGTGATAAAGTAGAATTTTTAAATTTGACAATACAGATGCACTATAGGAGAGGACTGCAAGAGAGACCATATTGTGGAGGTTAGTGAGAGTTCACATCCCAGCTCTACCACTTTGTGACCAGTTATTTGACTTGTAGCTTCGTTAAGCCTGTTTTCCTCATCTGTAAAATGGGAGTGATAAAACAGTGCCTACATCCCGGGATTGTTCTCATTTTAGAACCAAAAGAATCCAAATTAAGTATTCTGAAAAGTTTAGCTATGTGAGAAATGAAGCTTTTTGTATTGTAAACATAATACTCTGACTGGACTTTTCTCTTAGAAATTGTGGTGGCACTTCAATTTTTCAGGTTTTTAGTAATTTTAATAGTAATTAACTTCAAAATAGAGATAGCCGCCCAATGAGAAGGTGTACCCCACCCGGATTGTTCTGATTCTAGTCAAACCTTTTGGGTTTTAATTTTAAATTCTTATCCTCCTTCAAGAACTTGGGAAGGATTTTTAAAGTGCTTTTGCTGGTTCTTTTAATTAGGGCCTCGTTTTTCTGAAGGCCTGTTGCCTTCCTGAGCTAGAGTATTACCTGTTTTTAGGTGGTCCTGCAACCAGTGCTGCTTCCGAAGGTCTCACTTATTCAGGGATGCTCTTCTGACCAGTTGTTGGGTGTATGCAGTGCCTGCCTGATGCCTTGATGCCTTTTCATTCTCACTGGCTCTTGGTTTTCTCCTTTGGGAAGGATAGAATTGGGTAGTCATAATGAGTGTAAAGTCAAATGTCCTAGGTTCTTAGGCTGGCTCTACCACATACTAGCTGTGTGTGTGCCACAAACAAGCAAGTGCATCTCTCAGTAGCTTTATCTACAAAATAGGGATCAGTATCAGAGTGGTCACAGTGTTTGGGATACCCATGTATAGGCACAGCATCTGATTCATTGTAAATAAAAATTCAATAAATACTAGCTGCCATTTATATTTGAATTATAAGTCCAGTGATTCAACCAACCGCTATTCCCAAAGTATGTTTGGTGCTCAAGAGTAGAGATGCTATCTGTTGAGTCTCTGTGCTGGCAATATACTTCTTCCTGGATATCCAAAATGAAGATTAACAAATCAGTGAAGAAACCTGTGTTACTTGCTGAGCTTGAGCACAGTTTTAATACCTATTAACTTGCTGGATTCAGTTGGAAAACACTGGACTAATAACCTTCCACTAAGCTCCATCTGTTCATTGGAAAGACTTACACAGAAGCTGTAGTGTAGGTCTCCCATGCTCTCAATCCCCCATGAATCTGTCCTTCCCAGAAAGACAAGTACAGGCAAAAATGTCCCATTTTAACCTATTCTCATGGAGTACCACAAACTTCCACCAGATGGTGATAGTGTATAAAATGAGAATTGTCAGTGTTTTAGTATCTAAGTGAAAGATGGTCAAAGCATTTGATGAGAGTCATATCAGAAATCAGCTTACCATTCACTGAAGTTGTCTGAAGGACTTTTACGTCCTCAAGGCTTTTATTTAAAGGGGGTCCTTTGAATCTTGAAATATCAGATAACCAAAGTGGTAGCCACGAAGTTTATATCATCACCAAAGAAAAAAGTAAAATCTAAAAGAACTCGTTTTTTGTTTTTTTAAAATATCCTTGAGAAAAGTTATTAGCATAGTGGTGAAGAGCGTGGGCTATGCAGTGTATGTCTTGGGTTCAAATTTTGGTTCTTTGACTAGTAGCTATGCGACCTGGAACCCAATTGTGCTATCTGTAAACTGTTCATACTGTAGTTGACCCTTGATGATTTTTTTTTTTTTAAATCCTCACCCGAAGATATTTTTTCCATTGATTTTTAGAGTTGGAGAGGGAAAGACAAATTTTGATGTGAGAGAAACACATCAATTGGTTGCCTCCTGCATGAGCCTGACCAGGGACCGGGTAGGGGAAGAGCCTGCAACCAAGGTATGTGCCTTTGACCTGAATCGAACTCAGGACCCTTCGGTCTGCAGGCCAACACTATCCCCAGAGCCAAACCGGCTAGGGCGACCCTTGGTGATTTTAAGCAGTCGTATATGTACATCAGTTTTTTAAAAGTTTACACCTTATGGAATTGTTAGAGGAATGATATGTATCTAAAGCACTAAATGCTTAGTACACAATAAGTGGTAAATATTAGCTGTCATTATCCTAAATCTTCTTTTTTCCCTCTCCAGCTTATTTTCAGTTACTTTGTAAAGACGGAAGGCTCATGGTACAAATTATTGTCTCCAGGTGAGTACATTTTGAGACTTTTTATGTCGTTTGAATGCTTAGGGCTATATAGATTTGATATTTCCTTGCAAGAATCAGGGTCCTCAGGTGCATCTTGTACAGATGCTTGCATTTCAATCTCTAGTTCAGTGCTTAGCACTGCCTAGTTTCCCAAGAACTTGTGCTCAACAGAGAGTTCCTTTGGGCCTTGAATGGTGGTGTAGGATACTATTCATCCTTTACCCCCTCAAAAATATTGTAACCGCCAGCCCTTTGCTTGCAGTGCTGGGGCTGGAGGCCTGTCAGAATGGGTGCTGATGGAGCTACAGGGGGAGATCGAGGCTCGCTACAGCACTGGATTAGCTGGAAACCTCCTGGGAGACCTACATTACACCACTGAGGTGAGGGGGCTTTTCTTTCCTTGCCTAATGCCTCAGGAAAGCAAGCTACACCTAGGTGGTGCTCCCAGGACCTAGAGTGAGGACTGCCCTCAGGTTTGTTAATCAAGGGCTAGCTAATCTGCTAAATTATCTGCTTGTTCTCCCCCCCCACCTCTGCAGTTGCAGGTAAATTTAGCTTTGGGGAATCTTGAAAGGTCACAGTTCTTTTTTTTTTTCTTTTTTCTTTTTTCTGGGGAGAGGGAGCGGGAGAGGGAGAGATAGAAACATCAATGATGAGAGAATCATTGATCGGCTGCCTCCTGCAAGCCTCCCTACTGGAATCAAGTCCACTACCTAGGCATGTGCCCTGACCAGGAATCAAACCGTGACCTCCTGGTTCATAGGTTATACTCAACCACTGAGCCACATTGGCCAGGCAAAAGGTCACAGTTCTAAAAGTGAAAATTCTCTTACCAGGGCCATAAAGGGCATGAGGATGGGTTGTCCACTGTAGCTATATAGCAGTGTAAGAGCCAGACCAGGGAGTGCAGGTACCACTGCTGCCTGCCAGGGCATCTTTAGGAAGCACTTGAGTGTGATGATCTTGCCCTGAATCTCAGGCATCTTACTCTTATTCTGCCAAAGGGAATTCCTGTGCTGATCGTGGGTCATCACATCCTGTATGGGAAAATCATCCACCTGGAGAAACCTTTTGCGGTCCTTGTCAAACACACTTCTCTGGAGCAGGACTGTGATGAGCGTGGCTGTAAGACTGGCACCCGGTACCTGGTGACAGCACTCATCAAAAACAAGATTCTTTTCAAAACTCGCCCCAAGCCCATCATCACCAACGTACCCAAGAAAGTATGAAAGAACCCCGGATTTTCCCTAGAGAGCGGCCAACTCCTTGGACTCGTGCTCCACTGCCACCTCGAGGACGGATGGACGGTTCCCTGGGACCACAGGGGGGTCAGGGTCCTGCTCTAAACACTGGCCACCCACTGGGCATGGCCTCAGATTCCTTCCTTATGGCATCTGGTTCTCTTGGTGGAAATCTGGCCCCATTTCCAAGGAACCATTCTTCTTTTCCAGCTTCATCAGGCTCATTGGCTTCAAATCCAGCACCTTTCCCTGCTGGTGCTCGTGACTCAAGCATGGCTTCTTTTCCAAGGGGAATGAATCCCACTGCCGCAGGTGCAGTTTCTTTCTCGAGGCCCGGTGGCCTCTTGGGCCCAGGGCCAGGGCCAGCTCTAAACCCCCGAGCAGGGGCTCTTCCAGGCCCAGGGCCTCTGTCTAACCCAAGGTCAGGGGGTCTCCCAGGGCCAGGTCCTATGCCCCATTCAAGGGCAGGTGGCCTCCTGGGAACAGGTCCTGACTCCAGAAGTGGGGGCCCTATGGGCCCTGGATCGGGACCCAACCTGAGAACGGGTGTCCTCTTGACTCCTGGGAATGGCCCTCCCAATACTAGGCCCATTGGCCTGGGCCCTGGACCAAGTCCCAATCTGAGGTCGGGCTTCATGGGTACAAACCCTGCCCCAAGGTCAGGTATGTTTCCAGGCCCCGGCCTTGGGCCCAACCCAAGAGCAAGTGGTTTGGGCCCAGGCCTTGGGCCCAACCCAAGGGCTGGTGGCCTGGGCCCAAGCCCTAACATGGACACCAGAGCAGGTGGCCTCTTGGGCACAGGATCTGGTCTCAACTTAAGAATGGCTGGACCTCAAAACCTAGATCTTGCCCCCATTCTAAGAGCAGCAGGTCTTTTAGGAGCAAATTCCGCTTCTTTCTCACAGGCTTCTGGAAACATGGGCACAAGCCCATCTTCCATGGCAAGAGTACCTGGCCCCATGGGCCCCAACTTGGGTCCTGGCTCTCGGGGAATTGGCCTTCCAGGGCCAAATCCATCTCCCATGTCGAGGGCTTCTGGCCCCATGGGCCCTAATTCAGCTCATTTTTCAAGGCCAGCTGGTCCCATGGGGGTAAATACTAATCCCTTTCCAAGGGGGACAGGTTCGGGGGCACTGAACCCAGCTGCCTTTTCTCAGTCTTCTGGAACATTGGCTTCAAACCCACCTACTTTTCAGAGGTCTGCTGGCTTCCAGGGTTCAAATCCAGCAGTTTTTCCAAGAGCCTCTGGGCCACTAGGACCCAACCCAGCTAATTTCCCAAGAGCCCCTGGCTTACAGGGCCCAAGTCCAGCTACCTTCCCAAGGTCTACTGGCCCATTAGGCTCTGGTCAGGTGACTTTCCCCAGGTCAGCTTCTGGGCCTTTGGGCTCTTCAGCAGGCCCTGTGGGTATCAACCCAGCTCCTTTTGCAAGGCCAACTGGGAGCCTGGGTCTAAACCCAGCTTCCTTTCCAAGGATGAATGGTCCTATAATGAAGACTGTGGTCCCATTTCCTAGAGTGGGTAGTCTCCCTGGTACAAACCCAGCTGCTTTCCCCAGACCAGGGGGTCCAATGTCTGCAATGTACCCAAATGGAATGTTACCCCCTTAAACAGCATTTCCTCTCTAGGACCACCTTGGTTTCCAAGCATCGTGGTTCTGGGCAGAGGCTGTGTTTTAAGTAAAAGGGTAGTCATGGAGCTGGGGCTCAAGTTCAAATGAGTCATCTTTTTTCAAACTCTGCTTCTTTCTTGATTAAAGGTGAAATGTTATTTGTGGGACATGGACTGCGGCAGGTGGGAATGATCCCAGCCTTGAGAGAGAGGATCTCTAGCCTTCCAGAAGCCTGCTGTGCTTTTGTCCCACAGCTTTCTGCCCCTTGTTTCTTGCTAGTTTCTTGAATTGTTCTTGTGGACTTTTCCTCAGGGATACATTGACCTGCAGGTCCCAATTCATATGTAGTTCCCTGCTCACCACTGGAGAATCGGCTCACTGCTCTCTAGAAATGTTGCATTGGTGAATGGACCATGCTTCAGCAGCTCTGACCTGGGCAGCTTGGACCTGTCATCCTCTACTGCCATACCTTTCCCTGGGGGCTTGACGCAGAACAGGGAGGTGGGCAGCCACTTTAAAGACCCACCAACTACAATTTCCACGTGACTGGCAGGTCTTGGAGTTTCCTTCTCTGGGACTTAGAGGAGGCCAGAATCAAGGCTCCACGGTTCATCCAACTCCCTCTCCACTGGTACTCCCAATCAAAGAACCTCAAAATTTAAACTGATGTGGATGGGATAGCGGGAGGCGGGTGGGAGGGGTGGGGGGTTGAAGGGAAGAAATCACTGTGCTTTGTTCAACCTGATGTGAAAGGATGGTTGGTGTTTTTCCTGCGTTGTATCTTTTCTTACTGTTTCTTTAATAAATGGGATGAGAGGGCTACTGGTGTCACTCCGTTTTGTTACCTGTTCCACAGGGAAGGAAGTTAACTCACTGCTTTTCATGGTTTCAGCTTGTCCACAGTCCTGCATTATCTGACAGATAAAATACTTTCACTCAAGGAAGAAGCAAGCTTGATTTTTAGCCTTAGCTTGCTCCTCTGCCAGTAATTTCACCAAAGACCCTACCCACCCTCTTCAATAAAAGTTAAGCCACCATAGGCGTCCAGTTATCAAGGTAGGCTTACTGTATTCCCCAGGTCCAGAAGCAGCTGTGACAGCTCGTCCTGCTTCTCAGTGACACTCGAATTACTGCAACTGTAGTTCTAGTTCAAGTGCAACTTTTGAAAGTGGAATAGAGTCAGCTTCCATTAAGTACAAAAAGGGAGGAAGTAGCTCAGAGACGGCAGTATGAGAGAATCTTTATTTTGACAAATATGTGCAGTATAAAAACTGACCTGAAAAGTTAAAAAAAAGGTAAAAATAAATATGTTTACAAATTATTGTAGAAACAATACAAAAAGTCAGTTAAAATTCTCAATGAGGAAAAACCAAAATGTGTCCAATTGTATAAAGGCTCTTCCCTTGCAAGAAACGGGGATAAAGCTGAAGACCCAGTTTGGTTTCACTGCTGAAAAATGTACAAAATAACTTAGAAAAACCAGTCGAGGTCAAACGTTGTGAGCCCACTACTTTTGATATGAGGAAAGTTGATAACGGTGTAAGGCAGAGCTGATGGTAGGACAGCCAAGAGCTTGCCATCTGGGAGCCCATCATATGTTACCCTTCGAGGGAAAGCTGAAGAAAAACAGCCCTTAGCGAAGTCTGAGCTCTGCAGTTGGCTGACCGGATTTCCTCCATTGTAGTGCTCAAAATAGTTTACTTCTTGGCCAGCAAAAACACGGAAGAGCCTGGAACAACTGCCTTTGGCAAATGGCTGCTGCCTCTTCTAAGAGCCTTCATGGATTGGGCCCAACATCGCCCAGCAGTCTTATCAGAAACTTGAGGTCTGTGTGATGCAGCCGTGTTGGCTGCACTTGGAAAACCCTTGAGTTCATGGGAGTTGAAGGAAAGCACCAGGGTTTGCCAGTCTGTGGCTCAGAGCACACTGTTCCTTTGTAGGAAGCACCTGGGTACACTAGAGGCTTGCCCCTCCACTCCTCTCTACCTTAGTGCTCATTCTGAGGGGTTAGTTGGACCCTCGGAGAATGGATGTTTGGAGACAGCACACACGAGCAAGCAGCCCCTAAGAGGCTTAGTCAAGATCCAGGTTTCAAACCCAAGAGCTGAGAATAGTCTGTGGACTGCCAAGCTCTAGAAAATGGCTTTCCCTCATTTCCCACCAAAAGTAGAAGGAATGAGAAAGCAAGAACCTTAGGATTTAGGAATCAATTCCATCTCCTAGTTTGGTTTCTGGAAAGAAGCAAATGCAGGAGTGACTATCCACAGCTTGGCTGTAAGAATTCCCTGGAGAAGCCACTGAGAATGGACAGTCTCAGAGATGACCAGCTTGGCTTTGAGGGTTCACTTAGGGAAACTGAAAAGCTTTCCATCAGAGATGATTGTCAAGAATTGTAGCCTGGCCCTGGCTGGCTTGGCTCAGTGGATAGAGCGTCGGCCTTCCAACTGAAGGGTCCCAGGTTCAATTCCAGTCAAGGGCACATGCCCCAGTTGTGGGCTCCATCCCAGTAGGGGGCCTCGAGAAGGCAGCCAATCAATGATTCTCTCTCATCATTGATGTTTCTATCTCTCCCTCTCCCTTCCTTTCTAAAATTTAATATATTTCATAAAAAATATATTAAAAAAAAAAGAATTGTAGCCTGAAAGTCATGCATGCTACCCAGTTGCCGATGATCGTCCCAAGCAGTTCCAAGATGGTAGCCAATTTGGTCAGAGGCTCCTAGTAGGTTTGCCCCATGTGCTGAGGGCAGGCTTGCCTGTTACAGAGGAGCCTGTGAGAGTCCAGGCGCTGACTCACTTGCCACCTTGAGAAACTTACCTGATGAGGAGGAGGGCAAAGAGGTGACTACATCACTTGAAATCAGTGAGGTGGCCATCTTAGGACTCAGCTGAATTTAAGAGGACTTCAGGAGTACACAGGTTGAAATACTGAGCCCTCACTTCCTTTCTTAGTATGTTGGGGTTTAATCTCCCTGGTAGATGACTGAAACATTTTCTCTCCTCAGCAGACAAGTTCATCTAGATGTCTAGGCAGTTTCCAGGTGGAATCTATATAGGCCTCCATATAGCCCATAGCCTTGAGCACCACTACCAACCTTTGTTCCTCCTGGCAAGTTTTCCCTTTTAACATTCACATTTATGTACACTTAAAGCAGTTCAATGCTAACTCCCTGCTAGTTTGGCTCATCCTTGAGATGTGGAATGGGGTACACATAATAAAGCACCATTCCTGTACCCTGTTTTCTGATGCCCAGAGATCAGGCTTCTGGGCCTTGTATCTCAGGCACAATCTTATTGCATTGATAACTCGATGGAGGGGGGAGACATTACTAGCTGGCCCAGATCTCAAATTCTCTCCCCACCTCTGGTTGTGTTCAAATGGGCTAAGAGAACCCCTTCCCACAGCTGGCTTTGCTCACTTACCTATCAGAAGTTGCTACTGATTGGAACTTATTGTTTGATTTAACACACTTCTGAGTTCCCTCTGGATCCTGGGGCAGGAGTGGAATCTTTCCCAGAGACCACCGTGTAGCAGACAGGCAGCCTGAAAACATGTCTCCTCTACCACCCTGAGCTGGAATTGGTGTTGCCTTCCCTAAGCAAAACAGCCCAGGGCCATACTACAGTCACCTTTCTTTGCACTTCAGATTTGTCCTTTGGACCCTTAAGAAACTAAAACAGCATTCCCTCCTCCCTCCCACCCCATCTTTTCTCTTCCATTCCCCTTCCCTCCCTTACCCATTGCACTTTTCCGGCTCTGCTTGAGGGTTATGTCACACCTCAGCAAAAGCTAAGCTATACTGCTCTGGCTTCTTCCCACATCGCCGGGCAATAATGGCCAGATACAACATGAGAAGGGCCACCCAATAGCAGCCATACAGGATGGCCCCAGAGACAAGGAAGGCTAGCTCCGTCTCACTGAACAGATCCTGGCAATAAGCTGTGTATGCCAGTCCTCCCAGAAGGACTGCCACCCAGATGGACACAGGGATGAGGCCAATGAAGTTCACCACAATGGTTTTTCGGCCAGAGGTGCCCCAGCCGGATTTGTTGATGGTAGCAATGGCAAAGATCTTGGCTGGCAGGAGGCTGGACATATAGAGAAGGGAGTACAGGGACATGAAGATCATCTCTGCATTGCCCCGAAGGAAGCAGGCATAGGTAGCCTTGATAATGCCCACCAGCTGCACCGTCAGCAGGAAGAGGAGAATGTTCCAGATGCGGCCACGGTAGAAAAGCTGTATGACTGTGGCTATGAGGAAGAAGGGGAAGAACCCTGTGACCACTGATTCGTAGGTCATCCAGAGGTGGTGCTTATGGAACCACAGAGAGTTGTAGAGCCACTCCCGGAAGTAAGACTTGCTCCAGCGGGTCTGCTGGTTGAGCCACCGGAGGTACTTGGTGGGGGTTTCTGTGAGGCACTTGGAGCGCGCTGTATACTTAGTCCTGTAGCCCAGGCTCAGGACTCGGTTGGTGAGGTGCCGGTCATCCCCAAAGCTGCACTTGCTGCCTAGAAACTTCTGATGGTACCAATCTTCCAGGAATTGCTGGAGGAGGCTGTTGCGGTACATGCCCAACGGCCCACTAATACACTGCACACAGCCAAAGTAGGACTGGCAGGCCCGCTCCACGTTGAAGGCCATCCAGTACCGCACACTGCTCAGGAAGGAGATCCATGAGTCATACTTGTTGAGGATCTGTAAGGGAACCACAGATGCTGGGCCTCCACACCTGAGACCATGAGACCCAGGAGACACACACCAGAGACCAGGAGGCCTCCCTACCCTGAGTTTCTAGCCTATTGCTCATATTCCTGGCCATCTGTCCCAGCCCAGCCATGGCTGGGAAACCCGAAGCTCAGGGGAGCCAACCGCACTCTCTCCCCCCAGCACTAGCCCAACTCGCCACTGTGTGGTCTGCATGGATTGTCCCAGTGAAGTTACTCTAGCAGTCAAAGCCACCTTCAGTCCCAGGGGGCAGCCTGTGGCAGCGACAGAGAACAGGCCTTGAGAAAGATGCAAAGCAACACCCAGGCACCTGGCCTGACCCTTCACTTGGAAAGTTTGTTGGGAAGGGCTGGTATGTTACCAGCAGTATCCTCTGGAAGAAGCTATTCCCCTTATTCCGACCACATTGCCCAAGGTCTTCAGAGCAATTAAGCCTAGAGCAAGGGTTTCTCAAGGGTCTAACTTGAGAGGTGGTTGCTGTATTGCCAAGTAGGAAGCACCTTGCAGGATCAATGGGCTCAGAACACGGTGCCCCTCCCAGCAGCATAGGCTCTCTACATACCTGGTAAGTAACTTTCTCCCCTCAGGTTTAAAAAGGGCAGGAAAGGAGCTGAATAGCAAGTGAACCATTTGAAACTGTCAAAAAGGAATATTCCGCCCCCCTACTCCCAAAAGTACTAGGAAGCCAAGATGCCCACTTCCCAGACATATCCAATTGGGTCAGAAAGCTAAGAGTCCAGCCCGCACCCCCAGGAATCCTTAGTTCCTTCTTACTTGGACATCTCCCCCGACTCCTCCTACTTGGGGGTCCTCCTCTAGGACTCGAAGCATCTCAATGGTGCAGGCTGGATCCAGGACAGTGTCAGAGTCACACACCTGCAGAGGAAATGCACTGTTAGCCCATTTTGACCTCAGTCCACTCACAGCCTGAGGGACACAGCCCCCTTTTCATATGGTTCACTTCTAGCCACTAGCTAAGAGATTTGTGCCAAATAGAAGGGGTGAGATGAGTAACAAAGGAGAGTAAGGAAAAGAGTTCGGATACCAGGCTTGACAACCACTAGCTGAGAGAGAAACCCAGGAGTCTGTCAGTGCTGGACCTGGAAAGGGAGAAATGTTTTGTACTGGACAAGTCTTTAGTCTCTATGAAGCCAGGCTCCTGGGAAGTCAGATGGCAGGCACAGTGCCTAGACCAGGGGTGGGCAAACTTTTTGACTCAAGGGCCACAATGGGTTCTTAAACTGGACCGGAGGGCCGGAACAAAAGCATGGATGGAGTGTTTGTGTGAACTAACATAAATTCAAAGTAAACATCATTACATAAAAGGGTATGGTCTTTTTTTTCAATAGTTTTATTCATTTCAAACAGGCTGGATCCAACCCGCGGGCCATAGTTTGCCCACGGCTGGCCTAGACCAAGGCCAGTAGACACACCTCAGAAGGCCAAGCTCTTGCCAGAGGCTATTGCCCAAAACTATCCCATAAGAATTTTAACAACAAGGTCTTCCCTGTTTCAGCTTCTGGCCTCTGGATGATCCACAACCCAAGTGGAGGATGTATCTACCAGTCGCAGCTCCCTTCGCCCCCTCCCCCCCCCCCCCCCCACACACACTAACATGGCTGCCAAGCCTTCAGAACTCCCTTGGCTGAGTCTCAGATCAGGGCACAGTATGGTCAAGGGCTGGATGGGCGTGGAAGCTCTGGTAGCAGCTGCCTTCAAAACCTGAATCAAATCCTGCCTGCTGCCTTCCTTTCCTGGGGAGGCTCATGGTCTGATTCTAACAGGTAGCCCCATTAGGTGAATCTGGGCTATGAACATTTACCCTGGTGGCTGACTCCTTGTCTGTTTTCTATAAAATTACTGAGATGGTACAAAGAGCCCAGATAAATATTGGGCAAGGGAATTGGTTTTCTGACCTCTGATGGAGCAAAGAACAATATCCATAGATGAGTCCAAACCCTGCTCTGCAAAAGCCCCAAATGCTTTAAATGAAGGTGCTGAGTGAAAGCCATTGGCTTGTAGGAAGGGGGAGGCCCCCCAAGCTCCAAGCTACCCAACGTTCTCTCTCCATGTTGGAAGACATGGTGGCCACAAGCAGCAGAAGGCTGAGGAGGAACCAGGCAGAGCATCGTACCTGCCTCCTCCTACCTCCCTACTGACAGTCTTACATCCTGGTCCAGGCTGGGAAGGTCCCAAGGAGCCTCAGTCAAACTCCCAGGCCTCCTCAGCTTACAAACCACACTTCCCAGTGCTGCTGGTCTCATGCCACTTCCTGCCCTGACCCTAACACCTTCTTCATGCTGCTCAGCCTCCTTCACTCCAGGTAGGTCTTCCAGCTGAGCAGGGCTAGAGAGGCCAGAGCTCTTGTGTTTCACCACTGCCCGGGGCAGAGTTACCTCCCACAGAGGGAAAGCCATGCCCTCAGCAAGGCTGTTAGAGGACAGGCTGCCCAGGGCTGCCCAAGGCAGTGATCCCAGAGCCCCAGGGGGAACGTCTGGCTCAGGTATGTGAGCCCAGTTGCTAATCCACCAGAACACACAGGAAATTATCAGGAAAGGAAGTTGTGTAGCAGAGCAGGATGGGGGGGGGGGGGGGGAATCCTGTGCTTCAAGGGAGTGAATGATGCTTGAGCACGAGCCAGGGCTCAAGGGTTTTTGCTAACCCGTCTGAGTCCCCAGGAAAGTCTCAAAGGCCCTTTGACCCTAGATGAAGTGCAGAATCAAGACCGCCTCACATCCCCCTCTACAAGGCTGAGGAGGTCCTTGGGCCTAGGAACACAGAAAAAGATAATAAATGTACCAACTCTCAAGCAAGAATACAACTTAAAAAAACAACACCCACCCCAAACAAATAAAATCTATGAAAGCTAAATTTAGGTGGGAACAGTATAGAAAATTTAAATATTGGAGTACTTAACATGTTGTCAGCAATACTGAGTTAGTACACAGGTGGGCTACCACAACAGCCACTACTCATTCAACCGGATGGGCAAAACCTTCTGGCAAGTTCGGAGAAGGGAAGAGACAGGGGAATGGACAGCATGGATGCTGGACCAGAAGCTTGGGGTCCTGGGTATCAGTTTCAACTTGTTACTGAAATGCGTGAAGCTCTAATCAGTTCTCTCTAGGTTTTGTTATTTGAAAACGAGGTATTCAACCTTGTCAATCTAATAAAATTTTCAGGCTGGTGTCAGTGATCCCTTTGACTGGGGATCCCTTTGACTGGAAGCTAGGCAGGGTTTGTTCAGGGATCTGGCCCTACCACGACTGCTGGGGAATCAAACTGTGGGATGATTCACACCTGTGTCCCTCTACCTTACACAGACACAAATTTGACACTGAGAAGGTAGGACTTTTTGGTCCATAATTAAAACAATATTTGAGTGCTTTCAAGCATAATGTCTTTTGCCCTTCACCACTTTTTTCTAAGGTTATTTTATTTTTAAAAATATTTTTTTGTTGATTTCAGAAAGAAAGGGAGAGGGAGAAAGAGATAGAAACATCAATGATAAGACACAATCATTGATCGGCTGCCTCCTGCACACCCCCTACTGGGGATAGAGCCCTCAACTGAGGCATGTGTCCTTGATGGGAATCAAACCTGGGACCCTTCAGTCTGCAGTCTGACACTCTATCCACTGAGCCAAACCAGCTAGGGCTGCCACACTTTTAAAAAAATTTATTTCAGAGAGAGGAAGGGAGAGGGAGAGAGAGAAACATGGCTACGAAGGTGGCTGCCTTCTGGATGCTGCCTACTGGGAATCAAGCCTGAAACCTGGGCACTTGTCCTAACTAGGAATCGAACCAGTAACCTCTTGGTTATGGATCAACACTCAACCACTGCGCCATACTGGCCAGGATCTTCACCACACTTCTTTATGGAGGGCTCATCCCCATGTGGCCAGTGGTGAGGCAGTATTGCACAATGAATAAGAGCAGATGCGCAGTGGATTGCCTGGGCTCCAATCCTGGCTCTGCACCTTACTGCTGAGTGACATGTGGCAAGTTACTCAGCCTCTCTGTGCTTCAGGTTCGCCTTCTGTGAGTGAAGATAATAATAGTACTTATCCCCTACGAGCATTATGAGGATTAAAAGAGTTAACATGTATGAAAAACCTACACTAGTGCCTGGTAAAAAGTGAATGCTATATATCTGTTTCCTATTTTTATTATCAGAACACAATTCACCAAGTTAAGTAACAGCAGAACCAGGATTCCATCCCAGGTCTTTTGGACCCCAGGACTGCTGTTCAGAACCATTATGCCTATTATCTTAAGTGCCGAGGAGGGATGTGCACGACACAAGGCATCTACACTAGACTTGAAACTCCTGGAGGAGGGTATGCCCGGCTGGCTGGACACGTCCCCACACTGGTAGGGAGGCACCCTTACCTGAATGTAGTCCACCGAATCGCCAAGGGCCTTGAAAGCTGTGTACATGACCTCTCGCTTGCCTCCCCACTTCTGCATGATGCATGAGAAGGTGCTGGCGCGCACCACGTCCCGCACACGGTCCATACCCGCCTGCAGGCTGGCCTCCGTCTCACCCTCACCCGCCTCATGGAAGTTGCTGCGCCACACAAAGAAGCCAGCTTGCTCAGTGCCGCCCAGCACCTCATGGAAGATGTCCAGCATGTAGGCATCCTCCTGCCGATTGCCGTCCACCACCATGACCACCTTAAGGTTGGGGAAGGCGATGCGCTGGGCTGAGCGCAGACACTTGCGCAGGTAGTCGGGGTCCTCCTGGTAGGCAGCGATGCAGAGTGCCACTGAGCGCCGCGGCTGGGAGGGCAGCTTCAGCGGCCGGCCTGCCCGCCTCATGTGCCGGTGCTCCAGGAAGGCAAACAGGCTCTGGGTGAGCAGGTGCAGGCCCAGGATGGCGCCGTACAGGCCGAAGGACAGGTAGTGCTTTTCTGTGTGGATGAACTGGTAGCCTGTCACGTAAGCTGCCAGGATGCCACCGAGCACTGCCAGGGCAAACAGGCTGGTGCCCACCACACGCAGGGCTGTTGTCAGCTGCACCGGCATCTGGCGGGAGAAGGCGGGAGATGTGGGGTCAGGCAGGAGGCAGCATCTCCAGTCAGTGGGAATGGAGGCATTACCTCTGGGCCTGGCCCAGAATGGGGTAGATGACCCAGTAATAAAAACTATTTCCATTGAGCATGACTAAGGCTAAGACTGCTAGGGTTCAAATCCCAGCCCGACACTATCTGTGTGACTATCTTTTGTCCCTTAGTTAATTCGTCTGTAAAATGGGGGTTGTAGCACTAACCTTGCAGCCTCTTTGAGGTTTAAATGGGTTACACAGGTAAAGCACTTAAAGTAGCATTATTATTGTGTATTGTTAGATAAACCAAAACTGAAGAGAGCTACCCAGCTAGAGGATGACAGAACTGGGATCTGCCTGACCCAAAATTCTTAAAGGCAAGCATCAGCAGGGGTGAGCCAGAGGCACTTCTGAGCACATGAGGGGCCAGGGAAAAGGGAGGAAGATGGACAAGGAGACAGACAGTGGCCCAAGCTTCCACCTGCACTGTAACCTCTAGGGCAGTGGTTCTCAACCTTCTGGCCCTTTAAATACAGTTCCTCATGTTGTGACCCAACCATAAAATTATTTTCGTTGCTACTTCATAACTGTAATGTTGCCACTGTTATCAGTCGTAATGTAAATATCTGATATGCAGGATGGTCTTAGGCGACCTCTGTGAAAGGGTCGTTCGACCGCCAAAGGGGTTGCGACCCACAGGTTGAGAACCGCTGCTCTAGGGGCTTGCACTCTGGGAGGGGAACATGTGCCAGTAAAGCACAGTCACCAGTGAGGCCCGTAAAGAAGGGCCCTGCCGGGTGGCTCAGATGGTTGGAGCATTGTCCTGCCGATCAGAAGGTTGTGGGCTTGATTCCCGGTCAGAGTACATGCCTAGGTTGCAGGTTTGATCACTAGTGGGGGCATATATGGGGGAGAAGGGCAGCAGATTGATGTTTCTCTCTTACATCAGTGATGTTTCTCTTTCCCCCTTCCTTTCTTTCTAGATCAATAGAAACATATCCTTGGGTAAGGATATTTTTTTAAAAAAGAAAGAAAGTGGGGGGAGGAGGGGAGGAGAGAAGAAACAGCAGGAAACATAAAGAGGTGCCAGGAGAAAAAAAGACGGAAACAGCAAAATCCGTGAGAGAAAGTTTCCCTGTGTTTTCTCCTTTCTCATCTTTTCCTCATTTACTTGAGCCAGGAAAGAAAGGGAAAGCAGCTGGGAAAGGCAGACAAGGGGAAGGGAGAGGAGAGTTGGGTGTGGACAGCTCCCCTGGAAGCCCAGCGCTCAGGGCACCAAAGGGAACTGCAGCCACACTGCAGCGCCTGGAGGGTGGCTGTCTGGGAGGCCCCATCAGCCTGGTCCTAGTGCCGCATAGAATCTCTGTGCTCATCCCAGCCTGGCCACTCCTGCAAATGCTGCCAGATTGCGTTTGCAACAATCAGGGCTCCCAGCACCTGTACTGTTGGAAACAGCCGTGTTTTAATGAAAAGAGCCTCGGACTAGAAAGACCCCAGAGGACTTGTGCTTGAGACAGGGCTCTACCACCGCCTGGCTGCCTGACCTTGCCAAGCTCTCTAACTTGGTGTCTCCCCCCCCCCCATGGGGGTTCTAATGGCTTCCTGCTCCATAGGTAAATAATTTCCTTAAAACTGGAAGCACTCCCAGCTATGAAAGACTACCCGAGTGGGAAGGCTGATTGTAGGGGTGGGGGGAGGTGCCTGATCTATGGAATCCCCTTTAACCACCCCACCCACCCTCCACAGACAATGAGGTCTCACTTCCAAGCTTGCTCCAACTCTAGGTGTTACTGAAACCGGCCCCGAGCCCCACCTCAACACCAATGCACCCTCTTGCCACGGGAACACACGGCCACTACCTAAATCAGCCTGAGATGCAGGCACCAGCACCAGCCAGCAGCTTCAGTCCGGAAAGTGCTGTTGGCAGCCTCGCCTCTCCGGGAAGCGCGGCCTCCGGGCGCTCTGCCCCGCCATCCCGAGGAGCCTGCCGCGTGCTTCCTCTGCAGGGCTCCCTGGTCCCCACCCCACCCCCTCCTGGCACGCTCCCGCGGCCCAGAGGCCCCCAGGCCCTGCCACCCACGGCCCAGGAGCGCCCTGTCCCCCTTTAGAGATTACATGCCGAGGGGGCGCTGAGGGCACTACTGCCCCCCTACGACCTGGGAAGAGGCAGAGGGCTCGGAGGCCAGCCCAGCAACCTGCCGCCGGTCGCTGGCGCACCGCCTCGGTGCAGAGCTGGAGGCGGTGCCCACCGGGTCAATGCGGCCGGGAAGGCACTCGCCAGCTTCTCACCGCGCCTGAGCCTCCCCTTCTGGGGAAGGCGGCGCCGGCCACACCCACGTGCCGGTTTCCCACGACCCACAAGGGAAAACCCAAGGAATCAGTCGGACCAGGTCCCACTCATCTCCCGGGGCCCCAGCCACCGTGGCAAAGTGTGCCTGCAGACAAAGGCGACATCCCCGGCGCCGCCGGCGCCCTCCTTTCCCGGGCCGGACCCCCACACCCGGCGCAGTAATTGGAGGCACCACCCCGGCACCTCCTACCCCTTTGAAGACCAAGACCCTGTAGTCGGTGGCCTCCCGAACAATCGGACGCTGGAGTGGGCTCTGGCTGAGGTGCCCCTGCCCAGAGAGGGGGCCGTGTCACCCCAAGCCAGCGAAGGGGAGCCTAGACCGCCTCCTGTCCCTGCACCTCCCCCCTTCCCCCTCCGCTCAGAAGGGATTCGAGCGAGCTCGCCCCTGTAGGCTAATGCGCATTCGGCTTCAAGGACACCGGGTTAGGGACGATGCCTAAGACCGACCCCCACCCCCGGCCATAGAAGGAGAAAACCCCAACCAAGGACGCACACCGCCAATCTACCCCCGGAACTTTGCGGGGCCGCCCAGGCTGCAGCCTCTCCAGCTGACAGGTGTGCCCGGCAGCGGGCCACACGCGGCGGGAAGGAAACTTGTGCGCGGGGCGGGGGCTCTGTCCTCCGGCCTCTCCGAGCCGCAGGGGAAGGGGACCCAGGCCAGCGGATGCGCGCGGCCGTGGCCCAGCTGACCCGCAGGGACCTGGGCGCCAGGCGTCTGGGTGCCAGGACAGGTGCGAACCCGCGGGTGGGCGTGGGGGAGGGAGCGACTCCAGCCTCGTGCCCCGCACCGTCGTCCGCCTCCTAATCCTTTCACAAAACCGGAGCCGCCAGGGAGGAAGGGAGGAGAGACTGGAGGAGGAGAGGATGGAGGAAGAAAGGGAGGAGGGGTCAGTGGGGAGGGGGCTGCAGGACCCGCCGCCAGGAAGCCCGGAGATGCCGCAGCCCTCAGCCCGCCTCCCGGCTCCGGACCCGGCGCCCGCACATCCGGGGGAGCCGGTGGGAGCCCGCGGGGCACCAGTGGAGCCGGGCGCGCCCTCGTCCTCGGCGCAGCCCCCGCGCTGCCCGCCCCTCCGAAGCGAACACCGGGCCCGCGCTCACCGTGCCGCCGGCTGCCCGCGCTCCGGTGCTCAGCAGGCCCGCGGCAGCTCCATGCCCCTCCTCCCGCTCCTCACCGCCGCCGCCGCGCGCTCCAACTGACTAGCGCCAGCCCCACCGAGACGCCTTAAGTACCGAGCGCGTCCCCGCCGGGAGAGGCGCCCTCCTCCGGCCCCGAGGCCCGGAAAGTTGGGAAGAGTGGGAGGGCTCCCCCGAGGGCCGCGAGGGAGCACCCGCTGCTTGGCTCCGGAGGAGGGAGCTCCACGCGGCCGGCGCAGCGCGGGACGCCGGATCCCGCGTGGACCCCGCTCCCCCGGTTTGCAGCGACTCGCAGCTTCTTTTGCGCCTTCGAAAACTGGGTTCCCCCAACCCCACCAAAGGCCGAGCTTCTCCGCGCTCGTCTGGGGTACAGCTAGCTGCCCAGGGGAAGGCGGTCATTGCGCTCAACCTAGAACCTGGAGCGTGAACTCTCCGTATAACCCGCTTTCTAAGCTTGGAGATGTACTCACCCTGCCAGCCGGTAGCAATCTTCCCCTGACTTCTGCACGCGAAGGGGCTGTTCCCCGTATAGGGTGCTCCCTAAAACCAAGACAGAGGAACCTTCCTGCCGGCAAAAAATAAATAAATAAAAATACATAAATAAAAGGCGCAGAGGCGAATAATTGTCAAATGGTCAAAGAAGGTGTTAACAATTATGACAAGTTTAGCTTTGAATTCCGCAGTGGGGCGCTAATGACTTTAAGGTTGTTTGCAAAAGATGCAAATAGTCTTGTAAAAACCTCCCAAGTTCCAGCGTCTTAAAGCCAAAACCAGTTCCTCCTCCCCTGTTATTTCCGACACCCATGACCCCCTAAATTCCCAACTGACCTTATCTCGGGGCCTTCCAGGTCCCTAAAATCTGGTGCTAGACTTGGGTGAGGTGGGGTGGGGTTGGGGAGAGGTAGGGACTTGTTAGCAGAGGAAGTTTAGAACCAGCTGAACACACCAAGTTTCTCAATCTCCGAGAAACTATAATTAAAGACTAGTAGGAAGTAAATGTACGTGTCCTTCAAGCACACCTGAGATGATTTCCACTTCCTCCCAAGCTGCCACAGATTTATAGGAACCTGATTTACAGTCTACAAGCTGCTCCTGTCAGAAGTCCTAAGGGCTCAGGGACTTATTTGCCTGCCCAAGGGCACTCACTCTGGGCCACAGAGCTGACTCCTCAGTTGCCCAGGCAAGCAAAGGCCCCTGGCACACCTACTCCAGCCACTCCCAGCTGGCCTTATAGGTATCAAATCACTTTATGCTTTTGCTTGAAAAAACCATCACTAATGTGATACATCGTTTAAATATCCTTTATTATGTGCTTTTAAAAACCAGTACTGAATACACAATGGCAGTGTGTTTTGAATTTAAGACTGGCCCTAATAAAAGCCAATCAACCTGGCCAGTGTGGCTCAGTGGTTGAGTGTTGACCTATGAGCCAGGAGGTCCTGGTTGGATTCCTGGTCAGGGCACATGCACGGGTTGTGGGCTTGATCCCCAGTGTGGGGCATGTGGGAGGCAGCTGATCAATGATTCTCTCTGATGATTGATGTTTCTATCTCTCCCTCTACCTTCCTCTCTGAAATCAATAAAAAATCCTATATAATAAAAGGGTAATATGCAAATTGACTGAACAGCAGAATGACCAGAACGCCCGTGGCCCCTTGCCCTGGCTGGCCTGCCCCTGATGGCCCCCATCAGGCGTGGGTCAGCCAAACCCCACCAGTGCACAAATTTGTGCACCAGGCCTCTAGTGTGTGTGTGCATGTGTGTGTGTGTGTGTGTGTGTGTGTGTGTGTGTGTAACTTAAAAAGCTAATCATGCACAGGGAGAGAGAGAAGCCTTTGGTTAAGTAAAAGGAGGGCTCTGGAGTCAGGCAGCTAGGCACTAACCTCAGTATTTCATCCTATAAATGGGATCCAGTATCTACTTCTCATGGTTGTTATAAGGACTGAAGAGATTGGCTGAGAGTTACGTGCTCAGTAAACGGCATCCATTTGCCATGCTGTGGATTCTACATGCCCATCCCTGCAGGATGTGACAGGAATTTCAGAGGTCCCTGCTCATGATGAATGCCTTGTCTAGACTGCATTCTGGTCTCACAGAGCCCCGGGCCACCTCCTCTAACCTAGTATATCCTGGGGTGTCACAGAGCCTGGAGTTGCCAGAGATTATCTGATTCTACCTCCCACCCAAACTTGCAATCTTTAGGGGGGGAAACAAGCAGAGATTAGGCAGGGACCAAAAGGAGTGTCTCCGCCTGCTCAGCAGAGACTCCCCCATTTAAAGGAGATGTCACTGTGAGAGAGAGGGCCCAGCACGGACAGGAATTCTGTGATCAAGAGAAGCCAGAAATCCAGATTTCTATGCGAAATCTCCTAATTTTTAAGTGTTAGAAGCTAAGTCAAATGTTGAAAAAATACATTCCACTGACCAGGCAAAAAATGTGTCTGAGTCATAGCCAACCAACTGGCTGCTCGTAAGTGACCTGTTTTTAAGGAATAGGGCAGCCAGTTTGGAAAGACCCCGTTAGCCCTCAGGGCAACAGCAACATGACTTCTCCAGTGCAAGTTGCCTGGGGCTGCTCCAGGATCATCTCAGGTAAATTTCGAAGGCTCCAACTTTGTCCCATTCTGCTCAGTTGGCTCCAGGGAATTTTATAGGTGGTGGGCTGGGACCGCACGATTAAAACATCCCAAATGAACAGTGGGTCCAGCTGCAACATCATGAAAAACTCTGCCGATAACCAACTGGCTTTCCCAAGGGAGTAAATTTTCTCTCTCTCTCTTTTTTTCTAATCTGCAGGGCCAGAGATCTGGTGTTATTGGGCAGCTTTACCTTTGTGGCCAGTCTATGCCAGGGAAGGTCTGTCTATAATTAACACCCAGTTTTCGGTGCCTTGTTTACATTCATCTCCTCAGGAGTTGTTGGGTAGGGGAATCTTTAAGGGGCTGATACAATAAAGCTCAGCTTTATCTCTGCTTACCACTGGGGATTTAGAAATAGGGCTAATTCCATACCCAATCGCTTAAAAATGTCAATTCAGATGTTGTGAATTGGCTTTTACTCAGGTTCCAGAGGGATAAGCCTCCTGTTCTGCTCAGTTGTACACTTATTTGTACTTCATTTCAACATTCATTTAACAAACTCTGAGCTGCTCTGAGCAGATAATGGTACTTTGCCACTGGGAAGTTTCAGGCTGGTCCTTGCCATCTAGAGGGTTATCCACGTCAAAGACAAATTCATACTTGAAAAAGTAAGTCACCATACAAGGCAGTTTATGAGCGAATCTAACCAGAGAGTTTGATAATTTTAGGAAAGAGATCTCTGTAAGCTGGAATGGACTAGACAGAGTTTCACGGAGAACTTGAGCTGAGTGTGTAGAAAGGTAAGAACAGTCTAGATGGGATATTAACACAGACCAGGAGCAGATAGAGCAATGGGTGAGGTGTGTTGGAAGGACAGGAAAGAGAGGCCTGGATGAACTTGAACAGGGTCTGCTGTATAGGAAGTGCCTGAGCGAAAGTCTAGCTGCTGAGGAAGATGCTAGGGACAGATTCTGGAAGGCCATGAATGACCAAATAAGGTGTATGGATTTTTATAGGGTAGCTGGTGGAGAACTATTGAAGATGTCTGAGCAAGGTAGTAATAGATTGAAAGCATTGTTTGGGGATGGCTGCGCCAGTGGTATTTTGTGATAAGGACCAGGAATGGGGTGTAGGAAACCTGTTAGGAGGCAGATAAACCACAACACAGGGCTGAGATGGGACTGTAATGAGGATTGTTGGTGCTGCCTTCAGGAAAAGGAGTTGGGGCACAAGTGAGGGTAGAGGTGGAGGTATAACTTCTACAGTTTGGAAGGTTGAAAGGGCCATTCTCAAAGGTTTGGGGGGTTTGAGGTAACCGAAGCTGACAGTTTCACAAAGATTTCACCTTTCCACTGAATTTCAAATCCAAACTCATGAAATGCTCAAATACCTTGCACCAATAGGAGCCCGCCATTCAATCTCTCTTGTCATCACTGTTGCCTGAAGCCGTGGGACAAACCCTGCCAGTAACCTGGTGTTGCTCTGCTCTGCTGGTCTCCTGGTGAGTGACTGGGTGGGGGAGGGCAGGAGGGCTATTCTAGCTCCACAGGCTGCTTCCTCCTCACCCTCTGACCTCAGGCCTCAGTGCTCCTTCATGGCATCCAGCCCACAGCTTCTAGCCAAGCAAAGCAGAATGGAGGGTGGCAGCCAGGCTACCAGCTCTCCCCCAATCCATCCATCCCATCGACTTCCCCTGGGCTGACTACAGTCAAAACCTCTTGAAGCTCATGAAGGTGAACTTAAACTGGCCTCCAAAGGGGAGCAGGTTATGTCCCCCAGCTGACTAAATAGGGCTCTCTTCAAGGCAGCGTAATCTGCAACACTAGTTAATACGTAATTCAAAGTGGGAAGCGTGTGCCTTGGATACAGTAAGGCAGCTACTACCAAACAAGTTACCCTTTCATAACTTGGCCCTCTTACTGACAAGTACTCTGTAATCAGCCCCAGTTCTGGGTGCTATGTTTGAAGAAGCAGGTCCTACAGTTACAAAGGTTGAGATTTTAATTCTAGGCTCTCTTCTCGCTCTCTCTCTTTGGGTGGAAGAAGTGTTTTCATTTCAATTCAATAAGTCTCTGTGTGGCAGCAGGACAATCAGTGCCTCCACGGCAGCTGGCTTACAGGTCAGGGTTAGGAGGGCCAGAATGAGGACCTAATAGCAAACCAGACCTGGAGATGCTTTCCTTGGAATCTTGAACAGAAAAAGCTCTTCCTGGCCATCTCTCCTTTCTCTCCCTCCCCTAGGTGAATGCAGAAAAAAAAAAATCCAGGCAACTTTCAACCATAATCTACCTTCTTTGTGGAATGCTGTGCGCAGTTAATAAAAATCATGTTCATAAAGAAAATGTAGAAATAAGCAAAAATGCTTATAATGTAAACGAGGCAAGATACAAAATTGTATCGAGGCAATTATGTTTACTTTGTTTTCTTGTAAATCCTATGAATTAAAAGGCAGGAGGGACGCTCACCCAGAAATCAAGATCAGGTTTGTTCAGGTGGTAGAACAATGGAGTTTTTTTTCTCTGTGTTCTCCAAATTTTCTATGAATAAGTGTAATAAGTTTATAATAAAAAGATATTTTGAAATGAATTGCTGAGTTCACAAAATTTCCTTCTAAGCTGGGGCTGGGTGAAGTACAGCCTGCATCAGGGTTGGGGAACGTCCAGCTCACAGGCTGCATAAGTCCTGCAAAACCATTTGGTCTGGCCCTGGCAAGGCATTAGGGGTGAGTTAATTAAATGTTTGACCAAACATAGCAGGCTAATTTTAAGTTGGTAATTTTGTATGGCCCTCAAATGATGTTATAAATAAATGACTCTTGGAAAAAAAGGTTCCCCACCCCTGGCCTATATGATAGATGCATTCATGTGAAAAGGGTTTGACAGCCTCAGTCTACAAAGAAAGCAGTCAAGTCGAGAAGGCCAGGATAGAGGATTAGTGGTAGCCAAAACTTGAGTCCTTTGCTTTATTTAAATCCTTCCCACTGTTCCTTTGAGAGAATTTCGAAGGGAAGGGGGAATTATATAGAACCGTGCTAGCTCATTCAGCACCTTTTGAATGAATTAGAAAAAGACCCCTTCCTCCTGGGAACACAGCCCTGAATGGGGCACATGGTTTGCCTGGCATACCCCAGCTGGTGTCAGCCCCCATGATGATCTGGGTAAGGGAGGGAGGCGTCCATAATTATGTGCTCTCTGAGTACCCTGAAAGGATGCTTTTCTTGAAAACAGCATTCGAAGAATGATGATGTCAACAGCACTGCTGCCCGAGGGAGCTCCAGGGAGAGGTCTTTCCTTGGGGTGTTGAAAACCTACCCACTATGCGAGTGCCCGTGTGCATGTCCACTCTGCACGTGCACATAACTCACTATCCACAAATGGACACATACTTGCTCATTACTCAAGTGCACACTTTCCCAGACCTTAATGGACACAATCCCAGTCTATGTAGTCACAATTCCAGTCGCCAGATCAGCAGGAGTGGAACAAATCACTTAAGGTAACTTTGTTCCAAATTCATTTGGCTCTTGTTA